GGCCAACCCACATTCGTAAAATCGAGCCACTACTAAAAGGTCATTCGACGGGACTGCCGTGACCAATATGCGACCAATGTGGTCGAGAATGGGCAATCCTTTCGATAGATGGATAGATAGTACAGCACTGCTTAGTAAGGCTTTCCTTGTTTTTACACCGAAATGTAGTATACTAAATCCTACTTTAAAAGGGATGCAATTGAGGGCAGTTTCATAAAGCTAAACACACTTACTAAACAGTTTATTATACAATCTTCAAAATCTCTACTTATCTCTGTAAATATTTCACTTGATAATCGTTTTGCAACAAAATCCTGAAATCGGAATTAAATTTATTATGTATTTAACATGTCTTAATGTGCACTGTATACAAAAAGTGCATATTTTCATTTAATATCAAAGACTTCCAGATAAATTTAATAAGTATAAAGGTTGCTTGATATGCATTATTGACTGTTCTTTTGCCACTTTCGTTTATTATTACTATCATTTCACATCGTACTGTTTGAGTCTGCATCGAGTCACGTTTCTTTTTCGTGACTAATTGTTAAGTGATCTCCGTAATTTTTCTTAACGCAGAGTTATCTAGTTACTTCAGTTAACTGTGTATCGGTTATTTGCTTATCTAAATTGCATTCATAAGCAACGGTTGCCTACAAATGTGATTTGTGTGCAGGACACGTCGTTCGGATAACGATATTAAAGCCAGCTCGTATATCTCAAAGTCCTGTCGAGAGGCTGTAAAGTATCTAAAGTACCAAGTCATTTTGTTTTGCAGACACGAAGCGCGAGAGTTAACGTCATAAAAATGTCATTTCTTCCTGCACTGACTCTAAGAGATGAATAATCTTTTTTCCCTAATTACATTGCATACTTTCACCACACGTCACATCATGATAGTGCTTCTTTATATAATAACATATTAAGTGAACATTGTATGAAAAGTCGACAATTATAGAGTCTCTGTGTATAAAATTGACACTTTAATTACTGACAAAATTTAATTTATTTACTTTATTAAACTTTAATAAATTATGTAAAGTGATTATAATTTATATTGTAGTATCAAAATTCATATAAAAGAAAATAATAAAAATATAAATAATTCAGTTTGTAAAACTTTTTAATACAATTTACACATTTCAGGATTACTTGCCTTCTCCTATAGTCTGTCATTTTGTAACGCAAATGTAGTATATCTCGCAAATTGTTCTGCGAGATGCGCATAAAATTAAGGGAGATAAAAATTCCGAATTTGATAAAGGCTCGATGAAGAAGCATAGTGGCGGTTGTTTGCCAAGCCGGCACTTTCATTAAACGTACCAGTTATAGGAGGGTTAAAATAGAAAGTGTAGCGGCGCAGGGATGAGAGATCAAAAGATTCTTCCCCCTTGTTACGGTCGCATATAAACGTCCATTAGTTGTTGTCGCACGGTGCGTTCTAGGAACTCAATTTGCAGAAATCAAATTCTCCTTTCGCCTTTATCTCACCACGCTAAGAATGATTACATTTATCACATTAATGACTCGCAATAATTCTTAAACAGCTTCTTAGAATATCACTTTAATAATACTACTTCATGTGTATAATTGACTGTAAAATGTAATGAGTGATATTTATCTTGTATAGAAGGAAAAATCAAGAGAGAACACTATTAAATATTTTTTATCCTCGCTTTATAGTGAGAAAATAGTAAAAAAAAACACATTTGCACATCTACTCCTACTTGAAATCAACCATATGCAAGAAAATATAGAAACATTATATTCATTTTTGTGCAAATGACTTTTATTTATACTATATGAGAAACACTGTCCTATTCTCATATTTTTTAATATATTTATTTACTAATTATTTATTAGCCCGATGATGGGCAAATGTACCGTAGCAATTTGTTGGACATGTCCCAAGGGAAGGAGTATCAGAACATTCTTGAAGCTTGTGGTGATTTTCCAGCGCAGCATCCGGACGGCTTGTCTCGCGACCCCTGGTCGAATAAAAGTCCTCGTGTCCTGGACGGCTTCCGATGCCGAAGATTCCTTTGCGTAAACTGGATTACATTCGCATTAAAGAGCGTCCATTCAACGTAAACCATTCCGAGAGTGCCTACTCTCACTAACAGATCCTATGTTTTTTAGGCATGATGCAACGCTCAGTATGTATTACAAAATTGATAACGCAACCGAAAACAGAACTGTACAAAATGACCAACCATACTTATCGTTGGCACGACATTTCACGCTTAATGTACGACCGATCAATGATGGAGCCTGCTATTCATAGTGGATTCATTTGGAGATATTGTGCGATGTTTAGATTTCCAGATATGATATTTGTTTAGTGCAGGATAAAAATGTTGATGACCGCAAACAACAAGTAGCAAATGAATGTAATTTTACATATCTTGCACGACATTACATCAATTTGTTACTGTTACATTTACACTAATTGAAACAAAATCATTATGATGTCAATTAAACTAATACAATATAATATAAAGATGTATGTACCTCAATCACTGACTGCTTCTAAACACATATATTCAATCATATTATTGTTATATAAAGAAATGAGTAAGAAGATGAATTGTACAAATATATTAACGATTAAATATTGTTTAAATAATAAAGTAGCATTAACGAAATTAGTCTTGCCGAGAACCGTGGAAAAGCCTGAAAAGATGAATGTTCCGGAACATCATCTCAGGATTCTTCTTTCGATAGGGACGGTATGCTGCGTGCGTAGTCAGCGTGGGGCTGTTACGCTCTGTGTCTCGGCGTCACAAGTATTGATCCCCGTGGAGAGCCACTACGTGAATGGGTTATGGCTATCTCGTACTATTCCGTAGAAATTCGTACGAGCCTCTCTTCATCACACACGTTCACCATCTCCTCGTGATCTCGATCTCCCCCTTAGGCGAGAGCTTTTTGTATTTCGCTGCTCGTCACTCGGCACGATACCCACCCCCGCACGTTACGTTACTGCAGTATCATGTATGCATGACGTAGGTACTGTACTGATTTGTTATATTACATGTATGTTGCTTCCAGCTTGCGTGCCAAAGTATTTACTAATTTACCTGATTATATGTCAAGGGCCACGACAAGGTGCATTATTGACGAAAAATACAGTATCTATTTCAGGGGTTTCACATAAATGTATGCCGTCGCTCTTAATAGTTGGCGCATTAGCATATCTCCTGCATTTTGGCGTCGCAATGGCAAGAGATAATGAAGTTAAGTAGTTTAACTGAAATCAGTACACAATAAATTGTCTCGTATAATTACGTTGCCTGTAGCACCGGTATAATTACGCATCTATAAGCATCTACAAGCCGGCATCATTACATGGTATTAATAAATACGAAATACCTCGCTTATTACGCTTGACAGAACGTCAGTCATATTTCCATGGATGTAAAACCATGAATGTAGGAAAAGAATGCTGACTTTAATCGAATCCATCTTCAAGGAGAAAAGTAGTAGTGACGTGCAATTCTAGGTTGTGCATACATATGTTGTTAAATATTCGCAATGTTTATCCAAAGAGCAATATATACACTGTTTTATACGCACAAAATTGCTATATAATTTTGCATTTTAATCGCCTTCTTTCTCTCCTTTTCCTATTCGTTTTCCTTTTCCTATTAATTTAATCATGACCGAGAATTTATGGTACACGTCGTTTAGGAATGAACAGGCGTTATCGGTAATAAAACAACTATTGTATACAATTCTTTATCTCTCACGCTCTTCAGTTTACTTGCTAAATAATACAAAAATGTATTTGTTGGTCAAATTATAAAAAATAATGCTACATACAAATTACATTGTGAAAGATAGAGTTATCTTCTCCATAATATCTCCATATTTTAGACAAATCTATGTGACTGTGCGAGCCAAGACGTAGTATTCGATCTAGAGAAATACAGTCCCTATCTCGACAAGATTCGAGCACTCTTTGTGCCTAGTCTAGAATATAGAATCCGTTCCTTGTTGGACGAGTTCCTGTATAGCACAAATTCTCGATGGGCCAAGCAGTTTCCGTGTTTCAACAAGTTCATCGATTCAATAATTATGTGGAAGGATTCTCTGAATAGAGTCGCTGAATATGATACCGGTATGATGGAAGAAATGATAAGAAACATCATCAAGCGCATAATAAAGGACGATTTGTTTACCTGCTTTCTGGATTCTGTCATTTTACATCATAGATTGAATAAAGTTTGCCGCGAGCTAGATACGTTGGGCATCAAAGACAATATTTTAAGAAGCTTGAACGTATGGAACTTTGTCAACGAAGAAGACTATTTGTTGGATTGTAATTGCTTCAAGTATGTTATATAAGAGATTTTTTTACTGGAAATTTAAAATAGCACCACGTGTCAAGTATCAGCGGTTGAATAATCACTTATTAAAATTGACAAGTCTTAGCTTTGATGAAAGATTATTCCTTTATTAAATGTTTCTTGCGGATACTTTAGTTCTTTGTCGACCATCACGGGAAATTACAACTAATTTTACTCAATAGGGATCTCAATACTACAATGAATTTGAACACGGTATCCTGCGATGCAGAAGGATCGATCGAGTATAAAAAGGCAGTCGAGCCATTAGCAAAAAACGTTTCTAACAGAAGTACCGAGTACACGCGACCAACAACGTCAGAATATCGAGAACATCGACGGATTCTTGATCTAAATCAAGATTGTCTTCAGCGAACGGAAGACGATTCAAATCATTATTCTACGTGCGTTGCAACTGGATCGCAAAATATTAGTACTAATAAATTAAATAGACATTTTGATGAAAAACCTTACAATACTAAATTGAAAAAGATACGGAATGGTTTGAAATTAAGGATAATTGTTCACAAGGTATATCTAGAAGATTATAAACATTCGACATTTTCAAGCTTTAATGTCACTCGCTTACCCCTGCCTTGCAAGCCAAGCAATTTAATTAGACGAATTTTCAAAGCTGACCCATCTTTAACTGAATGTTGCTTGATAGTGATAAAGCGAAAGTTCGAAAACAGCATGTATAATATTTGCTCGTGTCTCAACAGTATTCTCGAAAAATTCAATGCCAAGCTGACAAGAGCGTTATGTCTCAATTGCGAAATATATCCTGGATATATTAATTTCAAGATGAAAGCCAACAATATTAAAAAATGCCTCTTTGTCGCGAGAGTACCGATTTGCCAGAATGTTTGTAAACGTGTGATTCCACAAGATTACCCTATTTTCTCCTCAAAAGTTAATTCAAGCCCAAGTACTGAAATCGAATCAAAATGTCTTGAGCAATATAAAGACGATGGTACGAATCTTAACGACACACTTGAGCATAATGATACTGAAAAAACTGAAGAGTTCGACACACCTTATTCTCAATTGGATCAAAGCTTCATAAAAGACGTTGCGATAGACATATCGGAAAATGAAGCTGAAAGTAATAATGAGGAAATGATTACATGTATGATAACTGATTGTGAGAATGTTTCGAGATGTGTTCAAAATCTTGCAATCTCCTCTTGTAATAACTCTTGCAAAGATATTATCCAAGAAATATCTAATGACATGTCATTGTGTGTCGATCATTCTGAGGAAAGAAATGGAGAAGATTGTGAAGTTGTGAATGCAACAGAAATCAATTGTGACAACGATACGGAAAAATGTCAAGAGGAAATATTCGAATCGAGTAATTCTATTACGAAGACTGACACGTCCGCGCAGTTAGTAGACAATGTGAATTGTACGTGTTCATCATATGAAAATTTAATCGAAAGAAACGATGAAATTGAAAATACTTTTAGTAACAAAGATTTAGATGGTTCCTCGCAGACTGTAGGCATCAACGATTGGATTTGTTCTATGAATAAAAAGTCGAATCCAGAAAATAAAGTTTGTAATACTGATACATGCAGTATTACGTCATTTGTACAAAATTCCGAGTATGACAAACAATTAGTAGAATTAAATTATAACCATTTCTCGAACAGCAATATTAATGCGATCGATAAGCGCTTCGATAAAGAGGAAAATGATAACTCATTAAATTCAGCAAGAGCAGAAATTGGATGTAACTCATATTGTTCTTGTCAACGCGATGATTTCATAGATATCACAGTCATCGATGATATTTCTAAAGAAAATATTGTTTGTGCTTTTAAAACATCTCGGAATAATTTTGATACAGTGGAAGCTCCAAGTACAGATCGCTCCACGACGGTGCAGATATCACCTAGAAACAACAATTTGCTAACGATTTCCATTCATATGCCTAGATCAACGATAGTGTCAAGAGGAATCAATGTAGATACATGTTATTCACGAGCGCCTTGGTTGACGTCTGACGACGATAAAAATATATCCACTGTCACGGAAAGAAGCGATAGATGCAATGAAATAGCGAGTCTTTCTACTTATGCTTTAATTGCTTCTAGGAAAGAAAATAAAATTCTTCCTGGTAAAAAGAAGAAAATTTTTGACGTGAAAGATGGAACGCAAAATTGTATCATATCGCCGAAAAGCTTTTCCACGTCGAAGGAAAGATTCCGATCCGACGAGGAATCAAGAGATTCCAATATCTCGACAGGAGAATATCTACGCGCGAAAAATCACTCGATGTGTGCGACATCCAACGAATCGCTATACTATCGTGCGTTCGCAACGACAAGTAAATTTACAATGAACAACAAACGAAATAAACTCCAAAAGTCTGATAAATCGAGAAAGCTGTCAAAGCTTCACGGGTGTGGATACGTAAGGTCACGGAATGATATACGTAACATAACTTCGACAATGATCAAACACAAGACAAAGTCTTGCAGATATCCAAATGGTCATCCTATGATGACAAAGTTTCGTAATTCCGTCGACAAGTCTGTCGACAGAATAAAGCATTTGATTCGCACAAAGCTGAGAAGGATACTGTTTAAGAATAAAATAAGCAATAATAATAAGATGACCAAAACTTGTTGGAGAAATAAAAAATCTGTTCAAGTTACAAGAAGGAAGAAGACTAGTGGTAAACGCATAAGACAGGTATGCTTCTTGTTAAAATTTTATTTACATAACATTAAAGATTTAATTTGTTTATTTTAACGTTGGAGTTTAAGATAAATTGTTCCTATATCGGACTTGTAAAATTAAAAATGTACAATTCAGAATTTATGATTAAAATGGGTTTTTTTCATATTTTCTTCAGAATTATAGCATGACTTTATGCTCGACTTGTGACTGCTGCAGACAAGACTATACCATATCTTCTTGCGAATCTTCGAATATGATTCCATCAATCCGTAGAACGAAAAGAAAGCCAAGTGAGGGAACTATGAAGTTTTGTGATCATAAATTGACCGATGATAGCAAGGGTATGTTAAGTTCCCGCTCGATCAAAGCTTCTCCGTGGTCTTATGATTTGCTAACTTCTACAACCGAAGATGTAGAAAAGCTAAAATTAAATAAAAACAATCGATATAATAGAAAGGAAAGAAATAGAAACACTGTAGACTATAATAGAAACTCCCATCGATACGACTTGAAACATTCGGGAACAAGCATAACGATTTCTTCACAATCGACTAAAGTATCTCTTATCGAGAATAATTCAAAACATTTTGAACGTTACATGTATAAACGGCAAAAAGAGATATGTGATAAACCCATCTATGAGCAAGGATATTATAATCAAGACCAACGTGAAAATAAGCAAGTACGTCATGAATATGGACAATTTGAGAAGAAAAACAAATATCGAGATTTACCGATTAAATATACTAATGGCGATAGCTATGAATCTTTAAAAACATCGTACACTAGGAAAGGAAACACTAGAAATATGCATCAACAATTGTTTGATATATCAGGGCTAAGAAATGGTAAAAGATTTGCATCATCAAGAAAGAATCAACAAATATTTGAGAACAATGTGTCCGGTCGTCACGATAATAGTCTGCGATCCAATAATAATCTACGTAAGAGACCTGTCTTCACGACTTTAACCGATGCCTATAACGATTATATGGACGACCTCGATCTAGACTTTAAGTTAAGGCTGTTGAGATACGGGGAACTTTGCAAGAGCATCAAACGTTCGTTGATAAGAACGTTACGACCGGACGACGTTTCTGATGTTAGCACGGCATCGGTATCCGATAGCGATTTATGAGAGTTTGATTTATTGTGCTGTTGATAATCTCGCATCGATATTGCCGTGAAACATTGTGAAATAATATCGTTAATATGACGCTCCTAATGTTTCAACATTAATGTCATCTTTTAGTCAATGTTAAAATTATTGAGATTCTTTTTATTCGATGTCCCTTTCTATAACAAAACTATTTTATACAGGCGCGTATGAGATGCAAATATATTGTTCACGATCTTAAATAAAAATTTTACATTATTAATTATTTAAAGAAAATTTACATTAAAGGGAATAAGATTTGACTAGATTGAAAATCAGTCCCTCTCTTTCTATCTCATAAAAATATTGTAAATAAAAATCAACTTGAATGCTCTCATCTCATAAAGAGATACTAAAGTAGTCATTTTTTGTTAGAGTGACCACGGGGTACGAGTATGCTAGCAAATCAATTCCCTTTAGATTAAGCTATATTCCCGCAGGCGTTCGTTGGCACGTCAGGATGATAGTGAAATCCAAGTTATTTAGGACGTCCGACTTCGAAGAGAAGATAAAGTATTGTACCAACCATTGAGAACAGCAGCATCCATCCCTCCGGCCAGATCGATATTTCCTGGCAACCACCGGAAAGGGTGTCTACCCCCGATCGCTCTCTGTTTGTAACAATGCAAGTTAGCTAGCGAATCCAAAGGAGGATTTTTTTATATACTCATTTTTTCATAGAAGATTTAATTCAAGATATTAAAATCGTGGGCTTTGCGAAATTATTCCTTTTAATTTGAGAGATAGATACTTAAACAGATCTAAAGTTGATGTTTACACAGGTATAATTTTTCTTTACCTCAATCTATTAGTATTGTTATGGATTTCAACGGAGACTTTATATTGCTAATTTAAATTTTAAAGTTTTATTTGCACAATAATTTTAAATGACACATTGAATTAATTAGAGGATAAACAGTTTATCGTAAAAACTCCAACTTTTTTTATTATATAACTGTATTTCAAATCTTTAATCGAGGAGAAAATCTTCATCTTTAACCCTTTATAACTCGAGAATTTAATGATAAATACTGATAAAAAAAAATTCAAAATTAAAATGATAAATTTTCAGAATATTAATTTTACTACAGTTCAATCTAAATATTATCTTGCTAAACTGGAGAAAATTATAAAAATACTTTGAGTTTTGAAAATAAATGTCAAAATTTATTAATATTAAAAATATGATAACTGTAAAAGAATTTGTTCTCGTCTACCACGTATTAAAAGAATCTATTAGGAAACTAGATCCGACTATTCTCTACTCAGTTATCAGGTTTTTAAGGGGTTGAATGATTCTCTAAATAACGAAATCTCAGCATACCGATAATGCGTGTGTTATCCGGTTAATACATCAACCTTAACGCCGTTGCGATGATTCTCTTCCCGTGCGTGCCGTTCTGTTGTTGCAAAACTTTCGGCCGGGGTGCACAGAAAGCTCCGCCTGGGGTCGATCTAAAGGGGGTTGTAACCGCTGATGATTGGCCAGTGATATCGATGCGTCGTTCCCGACGAGCCAATCGCATCGCTGCGTCGAGACGCGCTGACGCCGTGACCAGAAGTCAACTTCGTTGCCGCCGCCGCCGCCGCCGCCGCCGCCGCCGACGACGACGACGACGACGACGTCAGGCGACGTCGACGACGTTCTCCGTCGCGTACCCCGCGCTACCGTTACCCACTCCGCTCGTAACTGTATCTGGACTTAATTATTGGTGAGTCCCGCGAATTTTCTTAATTGTTTCCGATATTCGCCGTTTGTTGAAATTTTGTTTAAGTACAAACAATAGCGAATTATAATTCCATCTCGGTTGCAACGAAATCGGAGATAATCCTCTTGTGCAATCCTGTGCCTTATCGGGAAGGATAGAACAAAATCTCTATCAAATGAAGATTGTTTATTTATTAGTGGTGAAGATGATTGTGAGATTTCATATTAGTGAAGTGATGATGTTATTTGTTTAATATCGAAAGCAACGATTAGCACTTGAATTCTTTTAATTTAGTCTGACCCACAACCTGGTTTAGACTGGAATAAGAAAGACATACTGGGATTAAGTAGAATAAAAAAAAAGTGGTATATTGAAACGGTTTATTGCCTGTTCGTTCACTCTCTACCGATTAGATAAATCGAGAAATTACCTTCAATGCATTTGCTTCAGTTGGCAATTTTTAGCGCGATTCGAGTAGCACACAGAAAATATCAAACTTTTGTCTTTTGTAAGATTATTAGAGCGTCTAGCGAAGTGAATAGCGATTCCTATCGTGCCAATTGTAATCTTTAAACACGTGAAATCTGCCGTGCGATAATTAGTCTAACCATGGGTATTAATATTTCTGATGCTTTCTATACTATTATAATGAATTCATTTAGACTTGGTTTGCACGAATGCCCAAGGCTCTGAAATGTTGTCGGCGCTCGTTTGCACCATTCTTACATTGATTAGCTGGAAATTGAGTTTCTGTTTTAATTAAAATTCTCTTTGAATATATCGCAGCAGATTCTTCCTTTGTTAACGCCCTTTATTTTTTATTAATGAAATGAAGTGCCTTTACTTTTATATATTTCTGATATCATTCGTTTCATTACTTTGTTCTTCAAGCTTCAAAAGAAGAAACATAATAATAGAATAATATAATTGCAATGTTAATCGTGTAAATTCACAATCCAGTGATTCTTGATCATTAAAGAAATTGTATATTAATTCTGTTCCTTTGTCAACAAACACTGTATCTGTTCAAATAATATCTAAATCCATGTATTTTGCATTTCTCAAATATCATTAATAGCAGGAAATATATGAGGCGCGAAGTCACGACGTAGACTGTACAGCATGAGAGTGCCGAATGTCGCTCAATGTCCATTAAGTTGAGTCAGCGTGTCCCATATACTCATCATTCCACCCTAATTCGTTAACATGTACTGTGCATTTTGGTGTCTTTTGTCTGTCACGTGCCATTTTAATATCCGAGAGCCATTGTCCTCCGATGCGCCTCTTTACGATCGGCGCAGCACCCCCGTAACGATTTTTGCAGGCTGCACGCTCCATCATGCAATGACGAAGATGATAATCTTCGACGAGACTATTACAATCGTACAGTGAAAATATAAAACAACCAAAAAATATTTAATTTTGAATATGAGTTAATAAGAAACTCTTTAAATAATAAAAAATATATATTGAAGTGTTAAGCATATATAAATGATAAAATAAGGTGAATATAGGCATACAATATATGCGATACTATTTGCAAATATAACAAAGCTTATTTATATGTTATGAAAATGACGAAAATGCTGTTAGCATGGCACTTGTACATATAATTCTACATCAAAAACTTCCAACTTTTTTATTTTGAATTATTTCACTTAATTCTGCAGCTTGAAAATTTATAAAAAATTGCTAAATCCACATTTATTATCCACCTTCCATTAACACGCTGTGTTTTAATTAAGAATAGATTCGATTAAGATTTTACGGTTTAACCGAGTTACGCCTACGACAAACTTTAAGTGAAAAATATGACCTAAGTGTACGGTCGGTGAAACGTTTCTTCTCACAGTTTTCTACCCTCCGAAGATGCTCCCTCGAGAGTTCGGGGATTAGGGGTGGAGAGACTACCACTCCAAATAAACACTCCTACCCGGATTCCCCCGTGCCCGTTCTGTAGGCTCTATATTTTCTACCTAGGCATAGCAGATCTTTCTGAAAGAAGCTGTACATGGCCAAGATACAGCAAAGCGATAATTATTTTTAAGGATGTTGCATCATTTATTAAATGTCTAATTCCAATATTAATTGGAAAACTATCTTTAAATTTATATTTAATATTAACGTGTAAATTATCTTCTGCTTCACGATTGTTGAATATATTTTGTTTAGATAGTTATTTGACATATAAACGTACTTTACATATTGAATTTTATCTATAAGATAACTTGTGTTATATTTATCACTACAGGGGCTGCCAAATAACACCACGGGCGATTGTATAAAATCATAAAGCAACCCCAATAATTGGAAAATGTCCGGATTCGCAGCGGCGGGTCTCGTAGCTTTCGACTCCTTCAAGACGAAAGCATCACAGAAATTATCCGGGTAACATATTGTGTTCTTGTTATTGGCATTATTATGTTGTGAATGTGATTTTAAAAACAGATTATTTCAAGAAAGTAGTGAAAGTTAATAAACATTTATTATTAATTTAAATGTGGAAAGATGATTTATCAAAAGGACGCCAACTCTCTGTAGATTCAAAAAAACTACCACCGGTTACGAGGAGTTCGAAGCTTCGTGCGAGGGTAGCAAAGACAATAAGGCATTCGAGGATGAAAGGGGTTACAGCACGCAGCCTTCGTTCGAGTCGCTTCCGGAGCCGGAGAGACCACCATTGCGGCATATCGATACTTATTGCATGCCAGAATGTCCATGTCTTTCAAAGAGGTACACCATCGCAACGTTAGCTTGCATGGGTAAGTCTGAATAACTAGAAAGCAATTTTGTCGTTCCGACTTTATGTTTGCTACTCTTTCATATCCTGTCACTGTAATCATCGTAATTTTACAAAATAGAAGGAATTAATTAAAGTAAAATTTTCTTTTAGGATTCATTATTTCGTTTGGTATGAGATGTAACATGGGCATGGCCAAGCTTGTCATGAAAAACAGCACGGAAGGCGAGAATCACACTGTCAAGTTTAACTGGACGGTCGGTATGGAAAGCGCCCTTGATTCGTCATTCTTCTGGGGTTACCTGTTAACGCAAGTGCCCGGTGGTTTTCTCGCGTCGTTATACCCTGCTAACAGAATATTCGGCATGGCCATCGCAATATCTGCCTTTTTGAATTTGTTAGTACCTGGTGCATTGAAGATCGACCCTATCATTGATATGTGTGTCCAAGTACTGAAAGGACTGGTTGAGGTAAGTTCGTGAAAAATGTTACGTTTAAAAAATATTATTCTCCATGAAGAATTCATTTTAATAATTTTATTATGTATCTAGTTAACTATCTACATAGCTTAAAATTTTTATCAACATGTTGGACCTTGTTTAATTAAATGAATAAAAACTGCTTGTTCAGTTGAGCTTAGAGTGAGCTATAGATAATATAATTTATAGAATTAAAATTACGATTGACGTTAATCGACGTTACTGAGACGGACAAAAAGCCATACCCAGTACTTATTCCATGTACAATCTTCTGATCGTTCTATTGCATTAGTGACCAGCTTTAATTTTTTGCAGGGCGTCACGTATCCAGCATGTCATGGTATTTGGAAATATTGGGCACCTCCTCTAGAGAGATCGCGTTTGGCCACATTAGCGTTTTGTGGATCTTATGCCGCAATGGTGATAGGTATGCCGCTTTCTGGATACCTGAGTTCCTGGTTTGGCTGGACAGCATCGTTTTACTTCTACGGTAAAGAGACCTTCTGTGTTCTTTTAATAGCAAACATATACATATGTTACATAGAAGAAGGAATGTTTCTTGCTGTCGTTACAAATTACTACTACAAGCAGCATAGTAAAAAATTGTTTTGCTATACTTAAAAATTTACATTTTAACGATTATAACGACAAAGTTTAAGTGCTTCCACGTAGAATATGTAACAGCAACATTTCTTTACTCCGTACAACAACAAAAGAAAAATAGCGAGTTGGTAGATGCAAATTTTAACAATAAATTGTAGGTGTCTGTGGTTTAATTTGGTATGGTTTCTGGTTGTGGTTGGCCTTTGAAAAACCATCCAAACACCCCTGTATCTCGGCTCGCGAGTTACGTTACATCGAAGATTCGCTCGGACAAGGGCAAACGCAAGCACCCGTGCCCACGCTGTCGACAACTCCTTGGCGCAAGTTTCTCACCTCAATGCCCGTATACGCCATCATTGTCGCTAACTTCTGTAGATCGTGGAACTTTTATCTTCTGGTACTCTTCCAACCACGTTTCATGCACGAGTCTTTTGGTATGCCGCTTGTCGAGGTAATAACATAATCTCTCGCTAAAACAATGATAAGTAGAATTAATTGTTTTAATAAACCACGTCACCGTATAAACATTAGAAATGATACTTTGCAAACTAATTGTATAAAATACATTTTGTGTCTGAATATTTTGACAGACCGGAGTTATTGGGTCGCTTCCACACCTGTTGATGACGATGATTGTTCCTTGCGGCGGATTGTTGGCGGATCATCTCCGTAAACGTGGCATCATGACGACAACAAATGTCAGGAAGGTTTTCAACTGTGGTGGTTTCGGTATGGAAGCGCTTTTTTTCCTAGTGGTGGCCCATGCGACAACATCTAAGAATGGAACCGCGGCTACGGTCGCTCTCGCGATCGGCGTCGCGTGCAGTGGTTTCGCCATCTCTGGTTTCAACGTCAATCACCTGGACATCGCACCAAGATACGCTAGTATTTTAATGGGCATGTCTAATGGGATTGGTACCATCGCTGGTCTGTTGGTTCCTTTCTTCGTGGACAATATCACTGAAAAGAAGGTATGACCAAGAGTACACTTGTTCGATCACGAATGTAAAAGTACACAAGTCAAAAGTAATATACATAAAAAATTTTTCTACAGGACCCACATAGCTGGCGAAACGTTTTCATCATAGCTGCATGTGTACACATTTTCGGAGTGGCGTTCTACGGCATTTTCTGCTCCGGCGAGTTGCAACCTTGGGCCGATCCCACCTTGGAAGAACAAAAGAGTTGGAATCCCATGGATGAATTCGGCCAGACAAAACCTCCCGTTCCACCTCCGCCGAGAACGATGCAATCCGAATTCATAGTAAGTATACGCGAGTTATTAATAATTATTTATGATCGATATCACTTTCGTCGCAAAATTGTTCAAATCATCATGTCTAATCCACGAATAAACATCAAAATTGTTTCATTACACTTATCACACTCACAGATATCTAAAATATCAAGATATCTAATATAGTCTATTTTTGAGACTCTGAGATTTATATGTAATGATTTTTTTAAAATAAGCATATTTGTTATATCTCTTTGCAATGAAAAATAAAATTGAAATAACAACCGTCTCTTTCAAGAAACAACCGTCCCGAGACGGAACCGACGACTGGAATACTTACGAGCAGCCACCAGCTGAAAATCACCTGTACGCCCGACAGGACAGTAAGGGTCCCGTGATAAACTACGGCTCGACAGAGACCAACAGTAACAATCCATTTCACTCAACAAATCCATTCGCCACCGACGTTAACGCGTCTTTCGTACAACCACCGGCAACGGACGACTACACGCACGACGTCGTGCACAATCAGCAGTGGAACTGAGAATGGTCGATCACCGGGTAGAATAATTGGATACGAGAAAAGCAGACTGCTTTCCCGAGGTTGTAGATCATTCGTATTATTAGCTGTCAATCCTATGCTGGTTCTTCAGACATGCCACATCTTCATTAACAAAGCTCGCGGTACTGAGACTAGTAAAGATCAAATTTGATAGTGCGCAAATAATGTTATTTCTCCTAAAAGAATTAAGTCGTAAGAATCATTCTTTTTTTTCTTGAAACAAAATTAATTTTAAAGAAAATATTGGCAATTTAATTAAATTTTAAATAATATTAAATTGATCTTTAAATTTCATTTTTTAATTTCAAGTCATACGATATCTTCTTGTTAAGATATCTTCTCATTTCAATTAAATTGAGCAATCAAAATAAAAATAATCTTGTTATAATATAAAATTACGATATTTCGAAAAAATTTTAAGGTAAAATTGTTCATCACTTGATTTTAATGGTGGCATGTGTGAAAGCCATATGTAAATAAGATTTCAAGAACGTGTTTTGGATTTTACGAATCAAGATACAGATGATGAAATGTTGAAAGTATATTTCTAAATTTCATATGCAAAATCCTCGACAAATATCGAAAGAGAGGAAAGAAGATATAATTTTTTTGTTGAGCGTAATACCTAAGAGTGCAGAGAATGGCGCTGTGAATAGTCACGCGAATAACTTGAAATAATACAAGCAGGGTTTCGCTATGCTGTTAAATTAGCGACAGATAAACTGCTAGTTATTTACCTTATCAAAAATACGCATTCACGATACAGCGGTATGTGATAAACGATAGAAAGTGAAAGTACACATGCACTCCGTTCATATAAAAAAAAAACATTAATAAATCACTCGCTGCAAACGTGCCTAAAATGGATCTAAAGATTGTTTTTCTGGTTTAAAAAATTTAACCGGGAAAACGTTCTATCTTCACTTTTCGTTTGTCTTCGTATACTTTTATTCTTAAAAGTAAAACAGAGACAGCTAATTGAACAGAGACGCTTAAAAATGTATTTTATGTAATATGTAATTAGTAACGCTTGAATTTTCTGAATATCTTTTAAACATTTAGAGACTGAAGCGTATTATTAAGTCACAGTTTGCACATTGCAACGCGATAATCGACTATTTTAACTCTATTTGGGATAGTAAAAGAAGAATACTCCCTTAATTTATAAAAAGCGTGAATAACTCTAAGAAATTCTTCAACTTTATAAAATTGCGAAATGTTCTTATTAGGATATATCATATCTACATGCAATATTGGCAATATTGATTTCTTGTATAAAAATAGTATTACAAGATGCCACTTATCAGCGACGCGATCCAAATATGTCTTACAATTAGATGACAATAATTCAAACCTTCGCGAGACAATAATTCTCTTCGTGGACAATAATTAAAGGCGAGGTTTGAGAACATGGTAATCGTCAGAGATCTTGGTGCGCGCGACATAGCTCAATCGCTGAAACTTTTAGGTATTTCCAATTCTCTGCGCGTGACGTGTTTAGTTATTTACGCGAAATAATAGAAACATAGCAATAAAGGAGGAAAGTTACGCGAATCAATATAATGAATGACGTAAATCGCTTGTCGAAAGTGAAGTCACACACAAAGATACGCGACATCTTTACGCACACGCAGTTACAGTACAATTCGATCCACGATTACGACGATCCATACGACGTAGATATTCGGGAAATACACCCATTAGACACACGTATCTAATTTCGAAAATTCTCTAAGTATTTCTTAACTTTCTGGTATGGTATAATATAATTTTCAAATTGGATAAAACTGAGAAAAAGAGAGTTACAAGATGAAATCTGGCAACATTAACGAAAATTTAGAAATTTTGACAAGTTATCTCGACATCGAAGTAATATACCTATAAACATTGCCAAAATATTTATGTTATACGTATACATAGATGTCATGTAAAGTGAATGAATACAAAAATCGCAAAGAAACGGAAAAGAAAGCTCGGACGCAGCTATTAATCAATTTTTCAGTGACATCTATTGCAAGCAAAGCGTGAATTGTTGGAAAGAAAGCAAAAGGAAATAATTATAAATCGTCGCGTTCTCGTTCGCGTCGAGTTCTCTAAATGAAAATTTTTGCGTGAATTTTCTTAATATCCGAAATAAATTCAAAACGCTCGCGTAACAGCTTAACTTGAAACGTATGAAAGTATTCGTAAGAAAGTGATAACGAAATGAAAGTATCTTAATAAAATATGATAGTTATTAAGTAGACAAATCATGAAAGTAAATATATACAGAGATCAAGATAAGATTGAGATATAATTAGGAAAGAAGCAGTATATTATACATTGTCTAGATGTATTTCGTATACATATGTATATTATATACATCTACATATGCACTTTGCATGTGTATGTGCGTGTATATATGTATACATACGCACATACATCTTTTATTGTATACATATGAATATATATGTATGTTCATGATCGCACATGTGTGCGATCAAAGGTAAAACGGGACACATACAAGGAAACGCAGTAAAAGTACGCGGCGTATTGCGCCGGATTTGGCAAGCAAGTGGTAATGAAGATATTAGGCTCTCAAACTGGCTAATTTCGATTAGTTTGATTTTTATACCCACATAAAAACGAGTATTGAGTAATAGATGTAATTGGTGTACAAGGCAATATTCTTTGAAAAGTTGAAATTATTCTGTTAGAAAAATATTGAAATATACTTGAGATGTTTGTTTTAATTTAAATCGATTGAGAACAGAGCTTATTTGCAATTGCAACATTTATTTTAACTCTTAAGCGAAAATATAATAAAAATGCGAGGATTTCGTAGGCATAGAAATAGATATTTTACTCTAATCTTTGTGAACAAACAGAAGTCATATTAGATTTGGCTTCCGAGTTGAAGTTGCGTAGATTTGTCGTTTTATTTCAAAGTTTCGTAAACAGTTCTTTGATGAATTGAATTGAAATGTTTACGAAATAAAATGGCAAACCTATGTGACTGCAATCCGGAAGCTAAACCTAATATTTATGTACCACGAAAGCCTCACTTATCAAACAAAAATCATTTTTTAGTATTTACAACATAAAAGTGAACAAAACCGAAATTAACCGATTTGGTCGTCTAATAATAAATCTAATCTGATTTGCATAAATGAGATATATGATACAATATTTAGCTAATGGCAACGTTGAGACACAAGCAAAGTTGAATGCCCTGTGCGTGTGTGGGCCTACGAATCGAATAGTTTAGATTTTCCGTTATAGCCAAGGGAAATCCACAAAATTAGTCAATTTATGCGAGACCTTTTTAAGAGAATAGACATACCGGTATGATCCATATGTATATGTATATACATATGTGTGTATATATGTATACATATACATACATGGCGACATATATTGTATCGTCTCGCATTCTTCGTCGCAACTAAGATTATAATATATTACATATGTCGTGTATTATTCGTTATTTATGTTCTACGTTAACATAACAATAAATAATTATATATATATGTACATATACATATATATGTATATGTGTATATCAGTTAGGCGTGGTTGTATACTATAAATGCATTAATGATAACAATACGTGTGATGATCGATATATTTAAGAACGATTGATGCAATTTACTTATTAAAAATGTTAAGCATAAAGACGCGCTTCAAAGTATTAATTGGGCGCTTTGACATGAGACACGACAATAATAATTAAGTGAAAGCCTGATGCACATGTTATAACAGAGCACCAGATTTAGAGTTAATTATTTGTTTGCTAGTTGCGTGGTTTTATTCAATATTTATGAATGCGTTGGGGTGTTTGAGAATTAGCACATTTAGTGAACGAGTTCAATATCCTTTTACAAAAAAACTGGTTTATTCTTTCGTATAGTAATAATTATGATCAAAGTAGAATTATGATAAATATTGAAATATCAATAGTTTTTTTAGATATGGCCGATTAAAAGAAAGGAAATTGTCCTCTTCAGAGATATTTTATAACGACTTTTAATATTCAAGTAAATTCTTGTTTTAATACATTTTTTATGTGAGAATGTGTCTTTTTCTGATAGACATTATAGTCGTGTGCTTAAAACAAGATTTGAGTGATAGCAAATAAAATGAACTTTGAATTAAAAGGCAATTCTAGCTAATTCTAGTTCAACAAAAATGTTATAAAGAGTTATTTAAGTTTTTGACAGGGAGCATCGTATACGTGACTATTACCAAACACCCCGTATACGCAACGATAATAATCTCACTTCGTAACATCAGTGACAATGCAGGACAAGATAATAACCAGTCACGATTAGAACGCTCGAATTAATGATGACATGAACTGACGATGCCGCAACGCGCATTTTTGTTCGCGTGGTGCATCGACCGCGTGCGTTTTGCTTTAAAAAAGACACACGATGATAGAAAGTCGGAAACACTTGCAACACACTTGAAATTAATGATATGCACGCGATAACTGTCATCTAACTGTTGTGTGCTGCCTGAGTCACTACCGCGCCGAGAGAAACGATTTGTTGTCGGACTAACGTTGGGAAAAGAGCGGATCTGAAATCTGAAAATGCGGCAGTGACAATTTTCTTGAAGATAAAAATGTCAGATACTTTCTCTCAGCGTGGTTGCAAACAAAATATTATTCTTTGTACAAAATACACAAGAAGAAGATATAAGGAACGAAAGAGATAAACAATTGTAATTTAAAAAGAATTTTATTCTAATTTTGTGTAATTTTGTAAAATTATCTTGCCACGGACATTGTTTCGTTGGGCACTTGTCACATTTACTTGTTGTCTTTTTGGATGCTTGTACCTTGTAGTTTTTACTATTCCTTTTGCTTTGAATCTACTCATCAGTAATGTTGTATCAATTTATTTCTTTTTCTTATCTTCTATTTTGAAATTGATATCTCTGCTCTAATCGTGACTAAAATGTGAGAAATAATATTACGTTAAGAATATGTGTATAAATATATATTCATCATTGTGTATCGCAGTAGTGACTGGCCTAACGTTATTCATGACTACATTCGCTAAACCAGGAAAAGTTTCTGGACTCGAAATATCTATAAATCATAATTATTACGAAAAAACCTAAGATAAGTTCTAATGCTGTTCGAACAATAATATTGATACTAATACTTACATATATACGTATAGCTTCAGTAATAACTGATGACAATAAATAAACGAAACACGGGGTGAGCCGATGCCAAAAATAGTTGCAAACCAAGATTCTACTCGGAAAATTCAATAATACATATACGAGAGATACTCTACGAAAACGATCGTTGCTATTAGGGGATCGTTGCTTACGTTAAATGGATTAGCATAGCATTATTTTCGGCACACCCTGTACCACTTTCTAACGATTAGCTTTATGCTTTTTCGAGTGCTCCACAAAATATAGAAATGGAAGGCACGCGAGAATGTGATGGAACTATAATGAGTCATCCAGGAATGTATTGCATTAAAATGTTTCCATATATTTTTGTGAAGAATATGCTAAACATTTTATCGTTTCATGAAGGATATACGCAAATTAAGACGAAATAGATTGTATCGTACAGAAGCCATGATGGTTATCACGATTTCTGTCTGATACAAATCTTTATGATGCAGAAGTTCGTGAGACGATTAAGGTGACGCGTACTGAGTTGACTACGCAAAGGTAACCGTAAATTTGATATCATATCTTTCTCCAATTCAGAATGATAAGGATAATGTATGACTCGTACGCAATTAACAGGATTTCGCAGTCCGAAAAAGAGATTAGATCTCTGAAGCAATTCTTAATATATTTTTTGGAGGATAATTATATAAGGTAGATAACACTCTATATTCAATATTTTATTACTATTTACACGCAATTATAATTTGTAAAACATTTTGTTATTAAATCTGATTAAGTATCAAATTTTAATAATCATAAGAAGGGGAGACGTTATATTTATCAGTCTGGAGGAGGGCACAAGCATTCGACAGTTTACGGTATGGAACCATCTCTACACTTTTAAACACACACACACACACACACAATATACCTCCGCGTGTATGTATATATCTTATGCAATATATATAATGCTGTGTATACCTACATACTGGCATTCATAATTTATCACTATTTGTACATCCTCTGGAATGTAATGAAATAATATTAATTTACGTATTTCGATTAAACCTGTTTACAAAAGTGTATCAATTATTATATTGACAATAACGAAAATATTCGTGAAAGAATAAAAGTAATATTGTAAGTACAATAAATAGGCAAAGTTTTAGATATACATTGTAAACGATGAGAAATTCTCAACGAACTTATACATAAACAGAATTTTAATATATAATTATGTATTCATTTCTTTATTTAAATGTAACTGAATAAAGTCGGTAAAATTTCAATATTTATTTCATTGTTGAGAAAAGGAAAAAGATAAATTACATCGTCGAGTTGACGTACTAAATATATTAAATAAAGAAGAAGAAGTGTCCATAATATTCTATTGCTTAATGTTATTTGTTGGATATTTTTTGATGATGAGAATTTCACATCGAAAACAGGAAATTTAATCGATAAGAGTGTTACATATTACATTTTTGATGGCTTGATATAACAAGTATCAAGTGTAGATTAGCACTTAACTATCTTTCTCATTGTTAACACTTTTATTTGTGGGATTTGAAACTTGTAGTTATTTAATGTACTCCAAGTGATAATCCGAGGAGACTGTTTTGTGTCACGCGCAATGTTGCATTCAGAAGAATAGTTCTCATGCCGTTAACGAGTGATTGTATTGTAATTCGTTTCCTACAATTGGACGAAACAAAGTGCGTTACAAATAATACGATTAATTTTTGTAGAATTTATATATTCTCCGTTCAATTGTTATGATTCTCAATGGATTTTGTGCGCTAACCAATGTCGCATTCGCAGTTTGTAGTTTTGCTTTCGTAAAATCTTTAATTATTGCGAGAGACAAAGTTATGTTTTTATACTGTATACTAACCGTTGTTTTTCAGTATGTCTCGCTGGTTGAGAAATACTGCGTTGAAACTTAGCAGACAATAATACGATGTTAGTTACACACATATATATACATATATATACATATACAGATTCGTTAAGAATATTATAATTAGAATTACGTACGAATCAAAAGAATCTGCTCTTCCGTGCTGTGCAAACACAAGTTTGGCGTTAATAATATCGCGCACACGATCATGATTCACGTGTTCATCGTGTTTAGAATTCTCCGCTTACAGGTCCTTGTAGGTATCAATTAAAGTTAACTAAAATTTAATCAATTCTCTCCTTTTCTAATTCTAATTTTAGGAAACGACTGACAGAATTGATTAAATATCAATTAATTTTAATTAATATTTGTGCAAACGGTACGTAAGGAAACTAGATGTTTGGAGAGCTAAAACTGTATGAAATTGCAGTTTCCTTTTCATTGTGAATCTGAAAAGAAGAGATTAATGAATATTGTTTGAAAAGGAAATTAACTCTTCCCTACCATTTTGACAAACATCCATCGTTTATCCATTGTAATAATCTCGTTCTTTTCACCGGAATAATTATATATTTCAGAAATGTTTTCTAATAATCTTCAAAGCAGGATGGTGTGTCTGCGGGATGATGCGAATACAAAAAAAAATATATATATATATTTTAATCGTTTGCGTTAGTAAGCCTCTACTCTGTACCATGTGTAGCCGCATATTAGAGATTATTGTTACATACGCCGATGCAATCTGGTTTGTTACTGATTATTGCGACGCAATTGTCATGTAAAATATGTATGTAACATTGTAATTTTCAGTGTATTATGTAATTAAAAAATGAGAGATACTCTGGCGGCTATTGACAATAAATTGTAAGCCGATCTTTTCAAAACTCGTTCCTTCTGGATCATTGAGTAAATTGTGCTAGAAACACAAGAATAATAAATGCACCGGTTATTGTCAAATTGACTTGATATTTGTCAATACGAGACACCGCGTCTTTCGAGAAGAACAATTCGTGAAAACGGAAAAGTGCAGAATGAGGACGGTGCGGACAAAAGAATGACATCCTTGTTCAAATAAATCTCATTGATGATGATTTATTCTTGCTTGGCCTTGGAATAGCTATTAAACGTGGCACAGATATGCCCTCGTTCACATTTGCCGCTATCATGGAAATTGCTCGTCACCTGTTGCGTTGCCGTCTATTTACATATCGTACGTACAGGTACATGCGTGTAATATACCGGTATCGCCGGTGACGCTTAAAAAACCACAATTGCACAATAAATTTCTTTCTTTAATATATTTACCCTGAGGTGTTACACAATAGCAAACGTGGTTCTCAAGAACAATCCGACAGGTCTCTCTCAATTTTCCATGAGCACAGTGGTAATTCGCGCACACGGGAATCGTTAAACTGACGCTTGTAGGTGATTTCTCGAATTGCATAAAGCATTGTTTATGGTAACGTATCATTTAGCTATGCAGAAAGCACTTCCGTGAAACACATACATGAGAATTAACTCTCTAATTGTATCTCGTGGGATTAATTTATTGCGCGCGCGGAAAGATGCTTTTATGATTTCCTAATATGTCCATTTGAAAAATTAAAAATTGCGTAAGTACGTAAACGATATTTCAGCTTTCAAAAGCACAATCAAATTTCTACAAAGAAATTCGTATTTTTTAAATAAGAATTTTCTCTTTTTATAAAGCAGTTTCTCAAATCGATTCCAAATGAAAATGTATAAAAGGAATTGACGAATGATTGCGAATGGAAAATTTATGGAAAGAAATAAAAAGATGCAAAATCTCAATTTATAAGCACCCGTTATCATAATTGGCTCGTTTGTTACACTTGTAGAAATGGAATGCGCATGTGAAGCTAAAATAAAAGTATGCAAAGAATCGTATACACGTGCGTGGCGCATGTGCGCGTGCAATGGCCAAGAGTCCGGATGCAGACCGCTCGCGTGCACCGAGCGTACTCAATCAGCTTTGCATGTCACATACGGCGCGTCGCACGCGTGTATACGAGAGTACGGCGTGCAGCGGGAGAGAAGCGACCACGAAGAAGCGTAAGCGCCGCCAAAGGTACACTCTTCGTTACTTTCTAAATTCCCCCTCGCAGGCGGTATATATCCCCCGATGACTTTGCGTTTTGCAATCGTACGCACCGCGACGGGAATCACATCCGAGTGGATTTTTCGCGCGCCGCGTAAGTCTGGATGTTATATCACAAACCACGGGATCACCGCAGGAGATGGCGGTCAGTGTCGTGAGATACCTCGCTCCCCTTGTGTTCGGCGCCCTGCTACAGTACCGTAAGTACTGACGATGAGATTCGACTCGGTTGTTTTCTCCTCGATTTCTTTCCTCGACTACTTTCCACGTAGAAACATTTAATTCCGCCGCCTTTCGCGAGTGCGTCTCGTCGTTTGCCGGCCGCGCCAATCGTCATTCGCGCGCGTGCGATCTGCGAGGCATAGCGAATTTTGAAACAAAAGTTCCTTTTCGCTACCTCTTCCTCTTGACACGGTATATTTCTACAAAATCAACGTACTTGGTAAGTCAGAAAAATTAAAACGTCTTTTTAATTGTAGTAGCGTGTGTCGCTTTATCGTCGTCTATCGGGTTAGTAAAGGATAAAATATTTTTTGTCCTCGCTGCAAAAGCGAAATTTTCTTTTACGTAAGAATCTTGTCGTTTTCAACGCTGTGCGTGCCTAGATAATGTCTAATTTATTCCTCATACGAACTTGGCATACAATTCTCCTTTCGTTTCCTTCTTATTTATTATCTCTTCATTTATATTCAGATACTCTCGTGCATTGTTAATTTTAATTTAACATTTATTATTTTTTTCAATGCCTTGCGCGCGTCTGCAGGATATTATCTTGACACATACACACTTTCTCTTGTAAAAGACACGTCTTGCTCGTGAGTTTAAGAAAAACAAAAATAACATCGGGGAGTTCCGCTTTTATAATCCATCTTTCTTCGAGAATAAAGCTATAATACCCGGTAATATTCACGGTAATCTTTATTTTACTTTCATTGAACCGCTAACTAATGCGGTTACAAATCGAATCGAGTTCCTCGTTGAATTATAATATCTCTGCCACGAGTGTCTTATCACGTTTGCCAATCAACACTTTGTTCCGTAATAATTGCATGCTGTACGAACCTGGCGTATTATTTTTATCTGATTAATAATTATGTTGTCGCACTGACATTGGTGCTAATCGACTCGGGTTGGCAAAAGCAAAGATTGCTAAGCAAGGTGAAGTAAACGCGGGCGATCCATCACCTTGCATCTCCAACATAATAATTTATTTATAGCATTGGTGAACTAACAAGAAACATCGACCTTCACCCAATTTCGCATAACGGTCCAATAACTCGTAGTGAGGAGTGAATGATAAAGAAAGGTATCGATTTCATGCCAATCCGATAAGATTTTATCGACATGGATGCAGTACATGGATATTTTTCATAACTTGATGACTTTTTGATCCGCTTATATACCTAGTGAGGAGTGAATGATCCAAATGATATCGATTTCATGTCAAAATGATGAAACTATTTTGAAATCAATTTTTACATCAATTTGATCATCTGGTCACAGAGTTGTAAAATGCAGATGACGCCTGATAAATGTTTAAAATCCTTTAAATATAATGAAATTTATATTAAAAGTCTAGTAGAGTAATCGGAAAATTATTATGGACGAAATATCGATATTGATGAAAGATGAAAACTGTGACTACCAGATGATCAAATTGACGTAAAAATAGATTTCGGAATGATCTCATATGATTTTGACATCAAATCGATATTTTCGCTAGAGCTGCTCGTTCATTTTCAGACTATGCAACGGCTCAAAACAAAAGTCTCAGGGACCTTTTTAACAGCACATCCTGCGCCAAGCCGCCTTACATTTGTCCGCACCCGCAGATAGAGTTTTATCTGTACACTAGGTAATTGATTTCTTCATTTTTCCAAGCAGATTTTCGTTATCTAACTGCAACGTTATTTTAATACGTTAATTGATGTTGAATGTCAATTGTGCATCAACTAACGTTTCGTGTCAAGCTTGTGCATTTCGACAAGCGGTTTGTTAAAAGGGAAGCGATCAACGTTACAACTTTCAATTTCAAGATCACGATCATTTGATCTTACACTGAAAGTGACCTCCTTTCGAGACTTACTACCTTTCTCCTGCGTCTATAGTATGGTCGAATGCTCTCACTATCATCTATATTTACGTAGCGGACGTGGGACGAAGAGTCACTCTCAAATAATATATATATATCTTCTGTCGTTGGTAATTTTCACAGAGAAACGCAAAAAGATCCTGCGCTATTAGATGTCCGTGACTTTAACTCTCTTCGGAATTCCAAGTTCAATAAAACGCATCCGACAAAGATCATCATTCATGGCTTTGGCGGTGGACGGAACTTAGCACCTAGTACAGATTTACGAGATGGTAAGTTTAACGGTCTCTTTTACGTTTTCGTACACTTGAATTGCTGACATCTCAAATTCGTGAGTGTGTATGTGTGACCAGAGTTTGATCTATTAATACAAGAAATAAATGGAAATGAAAATGTTACTTTTGTGTATAAATATGAAGTATGTAGATGATGAAAATGGTGAATATAAATAAGTTTATAAAGAAGCACAGAGGCCGGGTGAGCTTACGTAGACGCAAAATCAGAGACTTTAAAGAGAATATAGTGATTGAGCGAAAATAGCCATACCACCACGTTCAATTTCAGCGTATTTCACGCGAGGCGATTACAATATTATAATCGTGGATTACGGTTCGTTGGTACGCGAGCCCTGTCTCTCGCAGATCTCATGGGGCCCAGATTTCTGCTCCCAGTGCATCGCCCAGCTGGTGATATACTTGAAAGATCACCCACGGGGCACGAGGGTAGAAAACATCCACGTGCTCGGATACAGCGTGGGTGCGCATATCGGTGGACTCATCGCAAATTACTTGCCCAATGACAAACTCGGGAGAATTACGGGTAATTGCTCGTATGCAACCGAACGCCGTCTCGTAATTCAACCGTCTAGACGTAACACGAATTTTTCATTTTGTTACAGTAATTTATTTCCTTGTACAAAGAAAAGAAGATAGGGAAGATTATTAAGTGGGAAAATTATCTTTACTGTTTGTGTTAATTTTTTTATCCTTATATCTAATTGCAGGATATTATTTATCTCCTAAGAAAATTAACAATACCTTTTACGATGTTACGTCTTGAGAATTCATAATTCGTTTATTAATCGGATATTAATCGAACAATTTGCATTCGTCCCGTTCGCGATGCAGGCCTCGATCCGACGATATTTTTCTACATGAACGGCAATCGCTCGATGGATTTAGACGAAACAGATGCCCATTTTGTGGACGTGATTCACACAGGCGCCGGTATTTTGGGGCAATGGGGGCCCAACGGCCACGCGGATTTCTACGTGAATGGTGGCTCAAGTCAGCCCGGGTGCGCCACTTCTTCTATACTCCGTAAGTAACGAGTACTCGGTCGTAGAGATGCAATGGCAAAATGTAATATTGATTACAAAAGAATGCGAGATTTTCTCTTCCGATGATAGATTGAAAATTTCCTCCACAGAAACGCTCTCGTGCGATCACACCAAAGTAACGCCGTACTACATAGAATCAATCACGACGAAGAAGGGATTTTGGGCGGCTCCTTGCGCAAATCTATTCTCTTACCTGATCGGATGGTGCAACCCCAAGAAAGAAGAGTACATCCTGATGGGGGAGGATACGCCTCATATGTAAGTGAATAATTCATATATCAGATGTTGATATTCAATTTAAAAAGAAGAACACGCGTTGAGATATCAAGTCTGTATTGTATAACGCGTTCCCCAATGCCGAAGGGAATATTGACGCGTATATGTGAAAAATTAACAGAGCACGCGGCATCTTTTATCTGTCAACAAACGCACACAAACCGTACGCCCGAGGACTGCCCGCAAAAAGCCAGCGTCGGACAAGTCGGAAGCAATCGTCCTCCCGCCAGTATTAAGCTTATTGAAACAACTGATTAATATAATTATAGAATAGCATGTACATTTTAAGCTTAAAAGACTTTTGTTTTTACATCGTTTACCATTTGCGAATTTGTACATTTTAATCATTAGATCTCCTCTGTTTCCTTCCTCTTCTGCCTCTTCCTCAATAAAATATTTTGCCAAGCTGCGCGACGACTTTTACGAAGAGCAGAAATATGCCTCGTACCGTTCATTCACATCCGATCGACGACTGGTATAGTTAAAGTCTCGCGCACTTAACACGTAACACTTTCACTCCTGCTCTTACCGTACATTTTTATATTATATTATTTATTTAAAGCCGCACACATGTTAACATGTTAACAAGACGTGATTCTCTCGATGCATTCAAACAGATCATTTGAATCATTCCCTCATATTCTGATTCAATCCAATGCGTCACGTCATTAGACACTATGAAACGAGACTGAATTGCATCAAATAGAATGACTTTGCGCAACATATTTATTTTAAAAGAGATACGAATTTCTTGGCGAATCTCTCAATCTTATTAAAATTTATTATGCAGTTATTTCACAACGTTGATGCAATACGTTTCGCAAAATACATGATTAATTTATGACGTTGTATAGTTCCAAAATTTCCTGCTACTCCTTCGGTGTAAAGTTACTCTGGTAGTGCAATCTGATTGTTTTACGATAGTTGTATAATGTATTATGATAATAATATTATGTAATTAATTTTTATAATTTGTAATATAATTAATTCGAACCTGTTATAGGAACAGAAAATTGATGTTTGCCTCGTGAAGAGATCTTTGCAATACAAATATTGCTCAGACCACATTTGTGTTTTATTCACCAGTCTGTCTCAACAAATTTCCTCATATAGGTACGTTTGTAACAACATGAAGACAGTTTATGTTAACAACAATATTTATTACATAATAATTATTACGGTATAGTAATAACTTCTATAGATTTACAATATACTGTCGCACTAAACCTTAATAGTATGTATAATATGCAATGGAATGATTACAAGCTGATACATCTTCGTTTCAAGTCGAAGGCTACCCCGCGGCCTCGCGATACTTCTTTTCTCTTTTTCTCAAGGTGGAATCTTGGCGAATAATGCGTATTCTCTAGAGATATGATCTCTCCCCGATCACGATGCTCGCGACGTCAATCTCCACACGTAAATACAAATCATACAAATGATACATAGGTAAAGATTCCAACTTTTTAAATATTATTATCGACCCCAATCTCGAGATTCGACGAGCGGCGTCCGTCGAGCATCGTCTCGAAGATTTCACGTGAGTTGGAAACAAAGTACGTATCGTACGATGAAAAACGCGATAATACAAACCGTAAAAGTGGACAATACTAATCTCCCTCGGAATCTAATCCCATTGTCAGTGCAAGAACCTTTTTCCGCAGATGACAATAATCAATTACAATGTAATGAATAGCGCAATTAGTTGCTCGTTAGTAAACTCTAAGAGAAAACAATCGACCGTACTAAGTTATTTTTATAAAGAAAAAGGCAAGATTGAAACATTATAAAAGATAAGTCAAGATTTCATAAACACATTCCGACTAGTCTCTTTTTTCAAACTTTGTTGCGTGTTGAATTAATATTTTGGCTATAACATAATAAAATCGCTGCGTCGTCCTTGACATTTTTCCAGCTGACAGCAAGAGAAAGTAGTTTTATCGGTAAGGCTCGTGATTATGTCACAAGACATAGCACAGATCATTATCGAATCATCGTTCGACTATTTCCGCGTGTGGAACGAAATTTACAGAGGTAAAAACACATCTTTTCGACAAACTTGCCAATTCGCATCTCGAGGACTTATATCCAGACTAAACTACAGTTTTACAAATGCTCTTTTCGCGTGTTTCGCTTTTATTTACATCCTTTTATTTTCGTGCATGCTACGTGCTGTTGCCCGACAATCGGCAAATGTGCATGAACGGATTTAACGTTAACGTGTATCGTTTATTTAAACAACGAAAATCTCTCTCTCTCCCTCTTGCTCGTGAAACATTTGCAGGATCTCAATTATTTCCGCAGAACGGAAATCAGCTCAAACGACCAGTGATACAAGTATTGATACTTGAGAGTTATTGATTTCAAACGACTGATATATATTTTCTTTTCTTAGGGGGATGTTTGTGGGGTATCTTTATCGATTATATGTATATTAGTTGCAAATAATATATTTTCTCTGCTAGTCTGGTCGGTGCGTATTCTTTCTTACTTTTTTCTACGAATCCTGCCTGTTTCACCCAACATGATCCTGAGATCAGCACGTACGATGTCTATGACTATCACACTACACGGTGCACGTTGTTTACCTCCTATTATTTCATCGCGTTATATTTTTTACCACCTCTAATTAAATAAGTTACTCGTAAATGGTAGTAAATGGTAATAATCGATATTAATGAGGATGTCAATACAATGAGTGACATTATTCGTATAGGACGTATGTGATTCTCCTTATATCAGATCCATTCCTTTCGGCTGCACCTTCTATACTTATTCTGTTTCTTTCTCACAGTAACATCTATTTTTCATTAAATATGGAAAAGCCCAGCCGAATAAAGGAGACAGATCTACGTTCTAGCTATGTTAAATTGTCAACTCGCGAGCAATGGCGTCGACTGAGTCGCTGTTTCGTCAATAGCGGAAGTCGTTTCGTAAGCGATAAAATTACTTTGAAAGTGACGGAAGAGCATTAACCTGTTACATACTTGCTCGATAATAGTAATAAACGCTTGGTGCTTTCGATACATGTAAAATTGCAAGCAAACTAACGTTCACGCGCTCCGAAAGTTGCGCTAGTAAAAAGTACGCAGCTACTTGGAAATAACATTTCTTTTCTCTAAAAAGTAAATCAATTAAAACAAATTGGAATTTAAGTGGACAAAATCATTGAATTTACTTGAAATTAAATGTAATATCTAGTTTTCAATTGAAGGGTAATTTTTTAAATTTCTTTGTAACTTTTCTATCTGAATATAACATTGTATTCTTCCTTAATAACAAATAATTTTGTACCAATCAGTAATATAAATCAGTATCATTAGCAATTATTTCTTTGTCGACGCCATTCTCGCGATTTCTCAACAATATATTGATCCATGAATTCTCGTTAAAGTGTTTTAAGTACAATGTTGCTGCGTAATAACGTGCTTCTTGCATATACTATACCGATACATTATCGTTTACGATAATTGGTCCTGAATAAACAATAGAACCAAATCCGGTAACACGATATTAGTGAATGAAAACAAAGGGATTTACAACCGCATGGATCGCGATCTCGTGGTCGTACCGTGCAAAGATCGGCGACGAGTCGCGGTTCGCGCGATTATAGGTAAGATGAAAACTCTGAGGAGCGAAAACTTCTTCCAAGGCCTGCGACACGGTCAAAGAGAATAACAGACGCCTTTACACACCGATATTCAACACACACTCTAACCGCTTGACTTCACTAAACCTGCGTAGTAGAATTTATTTATTCGACAAGTGACAATATCAGCGAGCGTCACATTCCGCAATTTGAGCTGTGAAGCTTTTAGCCCTTTTTTTTCTCGATCTTCCACTCCGAACTGACATTAGTCTAACGATAAGAACAAAAACGTATATTGAATTGTCATAAATATACGCAATTAATTGCAAGATATGCAATTTGTTACACAAATTAAATTTTCATCATTAAATAATGAAAAAGAGAAACAAAGTTTCCAAAATATGTAGCATTAAAACATTCAAAACTGATTAAACATAAATATATCTTACACTTAAAATCAGAGTCTTGAAATATTAACGTTATGCTTCTGTCACTTTTCGGAAGTGGATGACGACGGTGGTATGCTTGGGTTTTTATACAGTTTTCGTTGGTAGGAAAGATATACAGGTCGATACATCAACGGATTAACTTCGACACATCGGGAGACATAGGAAAAAGAGAATATCTTCAGCAACGTATCCCTCCATCCATTCCCCGCCAAAAGAGAACTTCATTCTACAATAAATTACTTTAACCTTCATGTTGTAACGATAATAGATGTATAACGCGTAATTATAATCTTATATACACCGAGCAAATGCTACAATACAAAGCTAAAATCAATAGATATCGCCAAATAGTCCAATCTCGCTGTCTCGGTTATCAATAACATTATTGTGATTATTATTATTATTTATCGTTAGTTATTATTATATGTATATTATTAAGAGACACGATGTGTGTATTTATATAGAGCATCCATAATTTTGTACCTAGAATGAGCACATCTTCTTATAAGTATATAATTTCTTTTGATAAAATTGAAACATGTGCTTTATAATCTTATTTTTTATAATAAATAATTTACAGTAAAATTTGTATCTGCAAATATATTTTAAGGCTTTAAGGGACATGAATAAAACATTATGTAAACGAAATATTAAAAGTTTACACAAAAAGTCTAGGATTTCTGATCATCCTAAGTATATCATCAACTGGACGCTATATATAAGTATGCTCTTATCATATCATACCACTAAAATTCGATATCGCATTATAACTTTTCTCTCTCTCTCTCTCTCTCTCTCTCTCTCTCTCTCTCTTGATTTATTAGAACTAAAATTGCACCAGCAACGTATAATTAAAAGGAGCAACGGTCAACCAATGAACTTAGAAGTTATGAAAATGTGATTAACGTGTTATATATTTACAAAGAAATGCGCAGTTCAAACTAGAGAGACCATACACAGTCCTTTCTTCAAACTCAATTATTTCAGCTAATCACAAAAATTTGCATATAAAGAATCAGTTTTCCGTGCACAGATGCATAAAAAATTAGAATATTAAGAAGTAATATTTTGCTGTACTGTGTGAAACACAACTCTTGCTATTTGTGTATTCCTGTCCTGTTCTCTCCGTTTCTGTATTTTATATCAATCGCGTCTTTCTGCACAGATATCTCCTTGGAAGCATCCAATGATATCGGTATAAATTTTGTTTGCTACTTTAATTCGGCGACAGTGTTAACTAACGGATTATTTAACGCAAGCAAGATGAATAGGCCCGTTTGCGATTTATGGCTAAAACGATAACTCACAGCAGATATGGCTCACGCGATATCACGCGATATATTAGGTATATGTATGTGTGTATGCGTATAATGGGTGATAGCGAGTATAAAATTGCATAGTTACACGTAAAAAGCTAACGCACGTTTGTACCGCGTCGGGCAATGCGATTTCTTCTTCGAAAACTGAACAGTATGGTTTTATTCGAGTATGCAGGTTCATTGATCAAAGCGTTTGTCTACATAAGCCGAATAAGACTAGTAAAATGTTCTGTGAGACGAAAACTTCCCCAACAAATTATCTTATATCTGCATTCAACATCTGAGCCCAACAAAGTCACACATGTGCATTAAAAAATGCTTTATGTAACAAAATATAATGATAACACGCGCAAATAAAATAACGGATTTAATACTTATTTTATGTAACGCAATTGAATATAATGTGGTAATAGAGAGAATATAACAATGGAATATAAATTATATATAGTTCCGTACAATCAATTTATAAACTCTTTATGTTCACGTATGTTACGCGTACTTATTACGTGTAAAATATCGCCAAATTACACATTTGTGTCTTTTTATTTAATTGTAGGAAGTCATTTCCGCGAGTAACTTGATCTAAGTGCTTCGAATCAGTGTCTGATATACAATACTTAAATCGAGCGATTATTCTTCTGGTCACGTTATTTGTTTCATCTTAATGCATCGTGAGTTCTCCGTACAAATGGTGCATAATTCGAGTGCTTAACTATAGTATACGAAGATACATCGCAGATTAAAGCATTGCTTCGCGCGTTGCACGAAAATGCATCGCGCGCCGTTGCACACGGAGATCAATACGGAAACGTCCATCGTCCCCTAAAGCGACGTTTATGCATGTTCATCAAGCCGCGCTTTGACCTTTCGAGTGCACGGGAGAGTTCGGTGTACGACGCGATCTCGATTCTTTTCGAAGCAACCCAAAGTGAAGCGATGAATCGCGAGAAGAAGTGATATGAACGACGCTCCGCATCGATGTCTCATTAAAAGACTCGGTATAAGGAAGTATGGCGCGAGGGGCAAAAATACAAGAGAATAATACACGATACACACACATATTGTATATGTGTATGTATGTATGCACATGATTATTTTTCTGCAAAAGCGGAAAAGATATCTTTGTGAAGAAACAATTTTATATTGATTTAATTTTAACATATCCCGAGTTATAGTTATACCTTTGCTAGCGTGTGAAATTTTACAATTTTGTAATTCTGTCTCTTTTTTTACCTTTTTACTGAGCCCTTTACTTTGCAAAGTACAATCCACATTTTGAGATCTTTTTTCGCGAACGTATTATCATTCATTATTATCATTTCGCATATAAGTATGTAGACACAACTGCAAACGTTCGCACCATCGTCGCTATATGTTTCTTCCCTCGGAAGAAGATTATGCCGCTATCTTTACGGACGACACAACTGTTTTATATATATATATGTATATATACTTCTTTGTAACATGAACGATGTATTTAGAAAGTATATTACGGGGAAACTTGTGATGTAATGAACGAATCAAGATGGAAGCCTATCTAAGAGATAATGATGTAAATATTTCCTCGAAGCGACGATATTTTTTTGCAAATCCTTAACGTTTTCTTTGCTCGTTCGATATCTCAAAAAGGACGCGTTACTTGAAATCATTCAACGTTACATCTACAGAGAGAAGTATATTAGATATATGTATATATACAAGACACTACACTCTCCATGTGGGAACATATTATTTTTATGTTAAATCCTTCATATAGTTGGTATTTTTATCGTTTATCATAGATTATTAATATCTATTAAATATGGATTTTTTATCTTTCCCTATAGATTTTTCTCTCTTTCTCTCCCCTCTCAATCTCTTTTACTCTTCTCCGTTCCCTTTTCTCTCGATCAATTATCCTGTAAAGAGAGGACCGCTTTCAAAGAACTTTTATCGTAAAACTTTGTAGAGACAAGACAAGACAAGATAAGGCAAGAAGAAAAGTGCATTGATTGTGAAAAATATATTTTGGAGTCTATTTGTTTCTTAAAATCTTAAAGAAAAATTGTTTTGGATTATTCGAAAAACTTGTTATTGAAAACATTTCTTATGTAATCAGCTCTATTAATACTGACCGTATATATCTTAATTGGAAAGTCAACGTTCTTAATCTTTCTTATCTCCATCTTCAGGGTCCTTCAGCGTGTGCCACTGAGCAATTGGGCGCCTAGGGGATGCCAACATGTCGGACCAGTGTCTTAATTCCGTTCCACTCGCGTTGTATCCCAAAACCACTTTCCCAATCGGTTCTGATGTGCCAATGCGATCGTAATCTACTACGGTCACGACGAGTTGCACTTTCTGAAAAATCACATAAAATATTGCAATCATTAAAATGTTACGTATCATGTCAACACACATATTTTTAAGAGTTACAATATGAATAACATAATCAGCGTAAACGGAGCAATGCTGCTTTGGCAAAAATAGGTTCGGAATTCTAAATCAAAAGGATGACTGTATGTAAAATTAAATGTCGCCAACTTTAGATTGTTACTGAACCCAATCTTTCACAAGCATTGTAAAATGATTTGCATATCAAATGTTATTTAATGATTGAATGATAATCAAGTATGTTTAATGACGTACCTGTATCTGCTCGAAGGGTACCTCGAAAGTGAACGATTCGTTGTAATACGGATTAAGGGTGCATTTTTTGATCGACGTTTTCTTCTTCTTCAATCTCTTTCCATTCTGCATCAACGCGATCTTAACGTAAGGATCGGAGAGGCCACCGACATCCATCTTCTTCAGATTCTTGGCTTCCAGAATAACCACTGTGAGTTTTCCGGCCGTTGGTACGTATCTCAACGAAAAGCATATGTCGCCAAGTTTATTATCCTGCAAGCAACAAAAATTTCTGTTCATTGTATTTCTAATGTGCAAAACGTCAAATATAGTCAGGCATTTCTTTCATTTTAGCAAAGAATCTATACACTTTGTATCTTAGTTTTATATGTCGCATTTTATACATGCATGTTGCAACATACATTGTTTCGCAATGAGCCATTCAATTAACTTACCTGTCCACCTTCACCTTCGACACTCTGTAATTCCCTCCATTCCTCGATCGTTTGCGCTAAATCTATTTGACAGAGCGGCACCTTTACTTCACCGATCTGATCGTGTTTCGAAAATCTATCAAAGTCGAAGATAGCGAAGACCAACGTTTTATTCATAGCATCGGCATAAGGAACAGCCTGTACAAATAAGTATATTAAAACAAATTGTTATACATATACCGCAATGTTCACATTATATGAAAGATACAAATGAAAAAGAGAAATTTGAAATGTTTCTAAAGATTGTATTCCATGTGAAAATTTAAGTATATTCGAGACATTGCAATTGCAATTCTTGACTGACCTTAAACGTGAAAGTTTCATTGAAAACTGGATTCAACGTCTTTCTGTGAACTTTCGTCTCGAATTTCTTCTTTTTATCCGGTAATAAATACACTTTTACATATGGATCCGACGTGCCACCCATATCCAATGCCGGCAGTTCTTCCGCTTGTATCACCGTTACGGAAAGGCTGTTCGAATTAAAGTCGTATTCGAGCTGAAATAATTAATTTTAATGCATTTTAACTTGAGATGGCTCAACTTGTACGAGTGAGGTAATTAAGAAGCAATTTCTCTACCTTATACTGTAGCTTCCCAAGCTTAACTTCGCTTTGCTTACTCTCAGCTTCGTCCGGTTCTTCGGCATTGTCCGTCAATTCTTCCATATCCGGCTGAACCTTCACATATCGAAGTGGATTCCACGAGTGTAGAGTGTGTTTCTAACGTCTACATGAAGTCACGGCACACTGAATACATACCTTGTCCTTGTACGTGCTCCCCAAAAGCTGCACTGACTTGAGATCCACCGCGCCCTTTAATCCTTTCTTGCCATCTTTGGAGCGTCGCTTGCGAAAACATCTTCGTATACAGCAAAAGCAGATTCCGAGGACAATTACGCCTACAACTATATAAGAAAAACATATGTATCCATCTTTTCTTTAGAATTTACTGAATTAGAAATCAATTCTCTCAGTCGCCATTTAACTTGCAACTACGTATATTGATCTTTATTGACTGATTGAAATTAGAAATCGCCTTCTCGCATTACCTATTAAAATAGCAACAAGACCCCATGGCGGTATTCCCGTTTCTTCTACGAGGCTCTCTTTCAACTTCTGAAATTCTTTTTCGATATTCTTCTCTGCTCTTTTGGTTGTAGCCTCTTCCGTTGCTGGAAACAATTACAAGCTTAAACTAATATATCGCGGAAAGAAGTTTTAAGTATACATATGTGTATCTGCACTTGAAATCCAGCCAACGAAAATTCTAATAAACGAAAGCAAAATTAATTTTGCGATCGAGGCTGAAACGGTACTACTCACTTTTTTCGTAACCTTCTGTACCAAAGAGAGATACGTCCAGGTCCGTTGCACCAATGCTCGGTTGCACGGTGCCCTCGTTACGCGGATTACCGGCATCTCTTTTGACGAACGGTGGCATTTTCTGTATCAAAACGACATTGCTTTAAATCCATACGCTCCGCAAGGAAGTTGCTCTACGTCGTTTTACACAGTAAATACGGCGATTCTTGTTACAATAACAATTCCAACATCTCGATAATTTAATAATATTGAAGCAACTGGGGCAATTGAATCTCTTAGTTTTCCCGTGACGGATTGAGTTAATCAACTACGAAGAGCTAATGTGGCACCAACGATACGTAAGTGTGACGCGCGCACAACCAACGCAGCGGACGCTGGAGATTTCGTAATCTACGAGAGCATTTCCGCAGCATGACGGTAGTTGAGGCCGCATGCGTATCTAAAAAAAAACTTGGCTTTGAACACGATGAATATTATTAAGGAGAATATATGAATATTGTGTATGTGCGCGACGCGCGCGTCACAAACGCGTACACCGCGCACCGGTTATCGCGTGGAAAGTAAAAAATAGCACTGCGGTGTAAACAGTAGCCATTCATAAAGGGTAATCTCGCAGCCCTTTGCAGCAACATCTTAACGCGACGGGATTTCTTTAACATTATCTCTCGAGAGTGTGTAAACTTGCGTCGTTCTTTTTACTTGCAATTGATTTTCATTATCGGTATATTTTAACTCTCGTCAATATTACCGCGCGTTTCTTTTGACAATTCTGATAAAACCACCTGACAAGAACGAGCCCTAGTAGCACAGTGCATTGGCTAAACATTGGTCCAATGTTGGTTACATTAGAAATGCATTGGCCGATATTGTCCAACGTAAAGCCAATATTGGCCATGAAATTAATGTAAATATTGCACGATAATAATGATATAATATTAGATTGATATTGGAAGTGCATTGGCCAATATTTAACAATGTAATAAGAATATTGGTCCAATATTGATATAATATTCAACCAATATTGCTAAGTAAACATATTGGCTAAGTAAGAGAAGGTGTCCATCTTACAATATTGGACCAGTATTGGGAATACTAGATTTACATTGTTTCCCAATATTGCGCCAATATATTGTGCCACTGGAGAGCAGACAGATTTGCTACCTAAGCGCGATCTCGACTCTCGCCGGCACACAGTGACGGAAAAACAATGTTTCTGTGAAAAGGTTGCCGAGAGAGGGCTGGAAAGGGACAAACGTGGTGTAAAAGCGATGCATTACCGCGCGCAAGGCGATGTATTATCGAGCAGCGCGTGGGAGTTCCTCCGCACCAATCCATAACTGAACGACGGGCGAAAGAAATAAAGGGGGATGAGATGGGAAGTTACGACGAGAACCTCGTAAGATTTCGTTTAAAGAGTTACAAGTTAAAAACAGAGTCACAAGTTGAGGGAAATTAAATTGAGGGAAAACTCCAATCAGATTATGTCGGAGTAAAATATCAAGTATCTCATGAAACTTTACCTTGGCGATGACTTTACTTTTTACACGCAGATTCATGGAATAAATCAATTTGATTTGCAAAGAGAAGTATTTATTAAGCCGTTTAGCATTGTCTCCCGTAATATATAGTTTTTCTGTAATATAGTAGCATGTATATAAATTGTCCTGCATGGCTTTTTCTTAAAGGATTTTCTTCTCTTTTTATTAAGCTGAATAGAGGCGAATTATCTATTTATCTATCGGCTTTTCTTTAAACTACAAAAGATTGATATTTGATCGAATGTTTTTATTTTGATCAATTAAAGAAACGTCATTAGATTATAATCATTTTAGACATTACAATATTTATTAAATTTATCGAGTTTAATTATCGATGCTTTATTTACTATCTCAGAATATTTCGTTTCCATTTTCTACATTATTGCGCAGAACGTAGATGATCGCACAAAAATTCGCACTATTGTTTTAGTTGGGCGAAAAAATGCCTCGTAATAGTATTAAAAATTATTTCAAGCGTGAAAGACTAATTTATCGCATGCTCGCGCTCAAAACTTGTAAAAAGTTTAAAATACTTCCGCTACTTAGTTCGCAGTTAAAATCCATTTGACCAAATATCAAATTGACTATCCCTGGGAAAATGTATCGTTATCAATATCGTGTCTCTCGCTTTCCGAGAGATCTGGAAAGTGTATCTCTCTTTCTCTCTCTCTCTCTTCTTTTTAGCACAAAGGAGCTCTTTACAAAAGTGAATTTAAACAGCTTTCTCCAATATAACCTACCCTTTGATAAAAAAGGTGAGAAAATAGTAATTAAAAATTCTCTCGTGTTCCGTTTATAAATTCAAATCAGCCTGCCATTAGGTGCAATTAGAGTCAATTAAAATTTTATGTGATTAGGCCGTATATTAATTGGGATGTCTGATATATATAAGCGGCTCCGTAGATGCGCGCGTGTGCGTAATCGAGCACATTTAAAGAGCAAATCAATACAACTTGGTACTGATAAATAGACAGATGGCTGAGTGATATCGTTCGCAACCATCGTTCACAGCCCTAATCAAATTAATTTTGACAAAGTAATATTGAAAACCAATAGGATGCATAAGATATATTGTATCGGTGTAACATGTAAAGTTATACTGTATATAACTTTCTCCAATTATATGTACATGTATACGGAAATGATATTGAAAGCTAAAAAGATTTATTCACACTTGTATAAGGCGATAAGATATAGCAGCTGTTTCTCATAGGCGACGTATAGGAGTTTGAAAAGTTTATATGGATTTATTTAATGTCACGTACATGCCTTCCCGAAATAACCGATTCAATTGTGAGTAAGCTCTTACGCGGTACACTTTCTCCTTTCGCATTTCTTCGCGTGCCAACAGATGTTTTCCGTAAGTTACTCTAATGACACTTGTCAACACTTGGCTCGACAGGCGTTTGACGTTGGAAAAATACAAACATTTATTAAAACGGTAAAAATATCGTCTCGCAAACAACCGCGAGTGTGTATACAAGTACAATTTGCAGTCATGATGAAAATGTCAATAAATCCTAAAGTGGCACTTGAGCACTTTCCAATTATGATAGTTTATTTAAAGAAGAGGACACAGTTTTCTCAAATTGAACATTACTTGTTCGTAACATATTTTGCTAATATTTAAGAAAAGTAATATTATTAGTACAAATACGTAAGCTACTTGGAGTAAAAAGCAAGCACAGCATACAGCGGGAGAAATAATTAGTATCATTAGTACGAAGATGGGGTAATGAAAAGCGAATATTGACTCGACGTGCCTTCCCCGAGAGGGGATCAACATAAGATTTCAGAGACATGAAAAATATACGATAATAGAGCGAAATGTCAAAGGTATTTTCTCCTATCAAAATAACGATTGTTCGAGTACATGTACACACAAACTGGTCTACATCCTTCTCATGATTTTCTCATTCATACATCCAAAGTTCTTTTCAAGAAAGCATATTCCCATTACCGCGGTATAAGCCAAGTTGCGAAAAAGGGAGGGAACGTAAGTTCCTTCTCTTGTGCGATAGGCATCCTGATTTTTTTCAAAATCCCTCATCGATCTGTTGAAATACCTAATTGTACTGGTCTCTATAGCGCGGACCCTTCGAAGAGCATTCGTTCCCCAGTGGGAAATGATTCGTCGAAACAATGTCGAATCGACATCGATATTGTCAAATAGATTCGACATCAGTTTGACGGTGTCGATGTCGATTCGACATCGTTTCGACATCGATCGGCGAGTCATTTCTCGCTGGGTCATGTCTTCTGATTTGCCGGCATCCTGCGTTTTTAAAAATCAAACGATTCTCGTCCGAAGAAAGGAGAGAGAAAGAGAGAACTATGATACTTGCTATATATTTATATATAAAACACTGAACAACTAAATCCCAGAGTTTTGACGACGCTCAATAACGCTTTCTACGAGCATTGACGAAAAAATTCCTTGCGAATCAGAAAATTTCACGAGTATGTTACGAGTGGCAAATACGGTTTCTTTATCAACCGTTTAACATTTACGACGATTTTTTCATCGTTTTTTCTCGAAACGAAAAGAGTTGAAGCTGCCTGATCTACTGCGATTAATCCGATTCGTCGTAATTTGCTCGGTCCTTCGATTATGCATATGGAACCGCATATCCCGCGGCGAAGAAGGGAAGAATCCGCAAGAAGGACGAGGTGAAAGAAGAAGGGGCTTGATTGACCAGCGAGTAACACTCCTCGAGGGGGACTAGACCGTTTCGCCTTGGCGAAGATGCTTATCCTCCCCTGGCACTTACTCCTTGAAATCTGTACGATCCTCGATCCGCGTGGAATCTTGTCGAATGGGAAATAAACCATGCAACTCGAGGTGATAATCATTAAAGACACATTTGCACGCTTGCCGAACCGAGCCCGGGGGTGGTTTCCGATTATATCCGCGCGAGGGGTGATCGATTTCTAATTTTACATCCGCCACGAGCGATTTATCCCGGCAAGATGGCCAAACGGATTTTCGTTGATCCAGAATGGTACTCACGACGGAAGCTGTCTCTCCCTAAAGAGAGGAAAGATCACTCTCTTCTTTCCTCTCGAACTGCTTTCTCCCCTGGGCGTTACTCGGCGGCGGCGGCGGAGGCGGCGGCGGCGGCGGCGGCAGCTGCGGCGGCGGCTGCCTCGACTCGGCCCGTAACTACTTGCGGACTCGCGCGTATCGGACACGAATTCGTAATCTCGCGGGGCGGATTTATCCCTCGCGCTCGTATTACAAGCGCATCGCGCTGCGTCGAACGTCCGCGCGGCGTAAACGGCCGGAAATCCTGCTCTGCCGTGCACCACGACGGTCTCTCGTCGACGACGGCGACGACGACGACGACCACGACCACGACGACGACGGCGACGACGACGACGACAGTGAGACGGAGAGCCGAGTGCGCCTGACCGGTGGTGGCGAACGCGAGTATGGCCGCCACCGACGTAAATCGATAAAACACGTTACGTTTTCCGGCGGCGTTTCGTCCGCTCGGAGCCGACGCTCTGCGTCGTACCCTCGTTACCCCTCGCCCGCACCCCTGAACCTGGCTTCCAACCCTTGACGACGACGACGACGACGACGGTAACGAGGGGCGAGCACCGACGACGTCATTGACACGCGCGGACGTTTTGACGTGAACAGCTTTCGTTTTTTCCTCTTAAATATTATCGCCACTCCGTCAATGACGATGATACTTATCAGTTGGTGACGTCAGCCAACCGATCATTTTAACCAAAGATTTATCTCTTATTGATACGATACAGTGTGGTATAGAAAAGGGCAAAGGACATCCGAATGTCCGAGGGATGGAGACCAATGCGGATTATTATATTGTATAGCGTCTCTTTGTCCAAACGCCGCAAAATTTCCGACATAGCTTTCATGTTTAATTGCCACTCAGGTTGGCTGTATTAATTATGACGGTTTCACTCGTGAAAAAAAAGTGTTCCATATTTTGTTAAAACCCGAGGAGACACGATCGCGACTCTGTCATCTCTGTTGAGTCTCCAGAAATGGAGTCGTGTATGGAAACGTATTATCTTATCGCGTATGCAACAGCTCGGTAATCTTTCTCGATGCGGGGAGGGTTGTGCGCCGAGTTTGTTGCCAAAACAGAAAGAAGCGTAACCCGCACGCTTCCATAAAACACACACGGGTCCCTTTCCGACGGAGCGCATGCTCGAATCGATCCATCGCAACAGAAATCTTTCGGTATATTCGCCGTACATCTCTCTATAAAGCCGTGCGCTCTCAAGCCCGACAAACCTTTAGCGTATTGTCGACGCTAGGCGAGTTGTAATGCGATAGAAAAGAAATTGAAACATAATCACAAAACACAAGAAATACAATTAATAGAAAACACACGAAAATTTGCACTCATAGCCTGATCTACAATGTGCTTTTTGGATCTAGAAACATTCTATGTTATATGAGCAAATAAAAACGCTTCAATTTGTCGACAACGTACGAATACACGATGCATACACTTTATCAACTTGCACAAATTTTTTAAACGTATTTATTGGCTACAAAATAGAATGTTTCTAGACACAAAGAGCACATTGTAGATCAGGCTTTAGGTGTCTGACGAAAGATGGTGATTTCTATTGCTTACAATCCGCCCGAGAGAGAACGCCATTTTGTCGTTAAAAGCGCATCGTATTGAATCCTCGAAATAGCAATTTTGGCAACCGATATGCAAAGATATCGACCGCGAGCCAACGCGAATCTAGAACTCGCGAACGAAGGATGATTCTTTCCGGGAGACGCGACATCGCGATTGGAAAGAATAAATCGATTCGTAACATTATTTCATTCTCTTTCTCAAATACACCAACACGCGCACACATGCATACACACAGGCTGAGCAGAGGCTGCTATATAAAGTTTCGTAACGTCTATGTAAGCCTCTTCGGCTGAAATAGCCACGAGTTGAAGAGTACCGTACGTTATATTTGTCTATAGATAGATCAAAAATTCACGCCCGTAGCTCGCGTATAGCCATCGTGAAAAATATGTCAATGACACGTGTGAGTTAATTCTGAGATCTCGTGCCAAAAGTCTCACAGGCAAATGCTCCATTAATTGGATCGCGACGAATATTTAATTAGATTTGATTCATCTAAGTTTTCGAGTGTGATTTAATGCGTTCCGACGGCATAATTATTAAACAAAATATAAGAGATCAATATTACCGCTACTCTAACAATTTACAACACTTTCATTATTATACTTTTCTAACAAATTTATCGATTTTCATGAATTCCGCAGGAACGTGTTTAAATTTTCAAATTGTTTCTCGCAAATTTTCCTGCAATGTAGGTAATGTAAATTTCGAACGAAATAACAAGTACTGTCAGTCGGTAAAAAGAAGTTACCCTAATACGGTAATTCTTTTAACAACAATATCGACACATTACCTCGAGTTAACTTTCGCAGTTCGCGTTTTAGTAGAATTCTTATTTTGGGTGCGTATAATCTCGACAGCTGGCAAAGTATCAGGAGAACATGATTGGCAAAGAGGTGGCACTATCTAAATTTCCAAGAATTTTTCGCGAACCTGAACACTAACAAAGTATCAAGAGAGTCAGCAAAGAGGTGGCACTATTTAAAATTCCAAGAATTTTTCAACATTTCCAAGAATTGGAGTTTCGAGAATTTTTTAAACTTCGAATCTTGAAAATCTGGAAAACTGAGAAAGTATCAGGAGAGAACATGATCAGCAAGGAGGTGGCACTATCTAAAATTCCAAGAATTGGTATTCCAAGAATATCAAACTTCAAAACGGAAAAATGGAAAATCCTGAAAACTGACCAAGTATCAGGAGAACATGATCGGCAAAGAGGCACTATACAACAGGGTGTCTTATTTTAAATAATTGACGCAATTATAATAGTGCGCGGAAACAAGTTTATATACATCTTATTTTCGCATTTTTTCCAAGTGAGAAAGCTTTATTCTTTTCAAGGCGTGAAAATAGATGACATTCCGTGACACTATCGAGTGTTGGCCATTTTGGTTCATCAGATCAGTTACTATAGACATTCCATGCTCCTCACCCTTTGTAGACCACCCCCGCGGCACTATGCTCCGTCTAGGTATTCCTACGTCCATGTCTGAAAGTTCTCTCCCCCTCCCGCCCCTGAAGCTTATCAAATATTTGTAATTTGTAATTGAAACGTGCCTACGTTTGTCGCTTCGATGATGAATTTTGCGCGGTCCTCGTCAGTCCTGTCGTACATCTTGTACAATCTCACTTGAATCGCCCGTATTATGGCCAAGTGGCGTAGCCGCGTCCGCCGCGTCCACGTCAATGTGTAAGGATATGCTGTCAATGACGGGATAAGCGACGATCACGTTCGTCGGAAGACTGATCTCGTCTCATGTCGTCTGGGCTATGTCGTATTTGGTACGTGTACCTTTACAACGAGCCCAACGAGACGCCTCACTGACGTTTAGCGTATTTTACGTTTTTATTGTTTTTATTTACCACACGTAATTCCGCTCTTTGTCTGCTTTGTTTATCTCGCGAATCATTAGGACTGCTATAAGATGAACGCAAGCAAGTATCTGTCATTTCCTTTTTGTGTAATGCGCTTCGTGGTGTAGCTGCATGACAGTAATTGGTTTGCAATGAGAGAAACGTTGCGAACTGCATTGTGCTTTTGTCTAGATAAATGAAGAATGGGTTGCGTCAATAGCAGAGCAGACGTTAACGATCTGCACCCCAACATTTTCCAAGTAATGAACGTGGACGACGATGGTAATTTCATTTCCCCTGGACGTTTAGAAGTTACCGAGGTAGACATTATATTGTATCAGCGTGGCAAGCAGCCGATTAAATGGCCATTGCGCTGTTTGCGACGGTACGGCTACGATTTGGAAGGACTCTTCAGTTTTGAGTCGGGCAGACGCTGTTCCACAGGTCCTGGTATATATGCTTTCAAATGTCGGAGAGCCGAAGAACTGTTTAATCTTGTACAAACGAAAATTCAGGTTAATATCACAAGAGCTAATAAATAAATATTTCGATATACGACCAGAGGATTTGAAGGAAGTACTTGGTTGTCAGCAGGTACGCAACAACGGAGGAGACGACACGCTGTCGCGAGACCTTCCAATACCGTCGCATCCCGCTACATCGGTAGCAAATGCGGCAATGCAAATGGAGCCTAATTATTTGGATCCAATATCGTCGAGAAGTAACAATCGTACGGGCTCTAGATTCCCTCACAGCCAGCAGAACGGCATCAGAAGATTGAGCAGTGTGGGAAGCAGCAGTGGCCCTATATCTCCCCAAGGAACCTTGGGATCACCGTCGCCACCCCCTATGCTTCCACCACCGCCACCGATTTCTCAGCCCCATCCGTCCTCTCTGTATGTCAATGAGGAGGTCTTGTCGTCTCTCCCCATTGAAATGGAGCGCAACAATAATAAAAGCCTTGGAAGAACAGTACAAAGGTAACGTCGGTTCGCTCCATCAATGGCGCATTGAATTTAAAACGGATATAACACGACGATTTCTCATTATTATTGCAGATCGCCGCAAAACGCTTCTACAGTTAATAACGCGACTTCCGTCAGTGGACCTGCGGAAACGGAATTGATACCCATTCAATGTAGCACAGAAATAACCAGTTACGACGCGACGTCACTGTTGCCGACTACGGTGCCCTATATGAACATAGACATCTGCAGCGAATCGAACCCAATCTCGCCGACGCACAGTACTACCGAGACAAATCAGCTCAAGGAGGAAAATAACGACATGGACGGATCCGAGCACGCGTATATGAACATAGGTCCCAGACAGGATCACATTGTGGAAAACATTGCCATCAGAGTACGTCCACCTCCGTTGCCCGTCTTGCAGTCGGACGTGGAAGAAGGCTCCAGGCATTGCTACGCTAATCTAGAGGCGAGCGAAATCGAGAGTCTGAGGAAGAGATTCTCTGGCACCTCGGTGGCCGAGAGGTCACCCTTAGCACCCTCCACGCCAACGGGATGTCCGATCAGGGAGGTAAATTATGCAGTTTTGGATCTGGATAAGAAAGACGCACCCACCGGCGCATCCAACAATGCGGTAAACGTTGCCCCGTCTCCCCCCGAGTCTCCGAACAAGCCGCAACAAGGCTACGCCACGATAGATTTCAACAAAACGGCCGCTCTCTCGCACTCGGTTAATCCCAACCTCGTCAACGATAACGAAGGCTGCAGAAAAACTCGTCACAACTCTACGATAAGCGATCTGGTAGCTCCGTGCAGGCACAATTCAGTAAGTGAATAAATAAGCGAGCTCGAGTGGCATATTTTATATAGATTACATCGTCTAACGACATTCGTGTAACGACTGTCTATCGTGTTCTTCGTTGTAGAAAAAAGGAAAAACGCAAAAAATTGGGGATGATTGGATTTAGTTCTATCACGAGTTTCTGCAACTCATCAAGTCATTTGATTGCGCGTTAAACTTTCAACGTTTTTTCGTATATTGGAGACTACATAGTAGTTGATATATACAATGAGATATTCTAGTGTATGAATTTGTACAAGTTTTCAGTGCATTTTATCAGAGCAACAGTATTCATACATACTAAGTCTTGTTTCCAAGTCAGAATAAGGCAGCATAGAGAGAATGTTTTTATACGAGAAACGTATAGATAAGTTTTTAGTACTTCATGCAGTCAGATTTTTTACATTTAGCATTTTACAAAGTAATGTGGAGGAATTGGAAGCTAAAGTGCCCTAATCTTTTTCTGTAAATATCGTAGAATTTAATGTGGCTCAAGTGATTGTAACGAATACACAAAGTATGGCATAATATAAAGAAAGTATGATGTAAGTTGTCACTGATAACGAGAATCATATTAGAGGGATTTTTCAGTGATTGCTGTCATTTATTAGTTATTATATTTATCATCAGAGCTAATAACAACAAAGTCTAAGTTTAACATAACTGGAGTAAAAATGTCACTTAAAATAAGATCGTGGATCGATTCATTTAGATTTGATATATGTGTGACGTGAATAATTAATAATATATAATATTAAGAGCAGTGTTGAAACAACTGATGCAGGAATTTGTTAAATTCCGAAGATTATATTTCCGTTTTTTCTTTTTGTGAGAGAGAGAGAGAGAACGAGAGTTCATACGAGTTTTATATGTATACACATATATATATATATATAATTATAAAAATTTATCCATTAAATATTGCTGATACATATGTCAGCATAATGTTATTGATTCAAGTCGAAGACAACCTTTTCTTTCTAGTAATTCTTAATCTAGTAATGAAATTACAATACATCCAAGATGTAAATAACCAAAAATTCTTTTGTAGATAAGTTCATGTACGTTGTTGTCTAGTATATTTATAATCGTTATAAAAAATTGGATTGAAACCAAATATATCATATATTTATGTTACCAAGAATATAATCCAAGAGACATAGATATAATTGAATTAAGTAATTAAGTAATTGGATAAGCTTATTTATCAATCATGAAACAGTTTCTGATACACGTGCATAAATACGGTTGCTTTATGTGACAAAAGATGTAGAAAAATATTAGGAATATATTAATAAACTACATATTATTTTCTACATAACTTGTATTTCAGTTTTCGTTAGTGAAAACTCAATGTGAGCTGCTTTATTCTCGATATAAATTTGACATATATAAACCGTTAAGCCACACAAATAACAAATTTTATTAAAGAGAAGTCGACTTTTCTTATAGAATGGACGGAATTTTTGTATCATATTTCTTTGGGGACGTTGCATTTTAGATCGTATATCTTTATCCTAAGAGTTCCTTAAGTATAATAAGGAATTGTTTAACGTAAGAATAATAGATTACTGAGATAATCGAAAATGCCAAATTTTACATAGATTTATTATATAATTAACTTTATATGAAAATATATATTGTATACATATATATGCCTGTTTTCTTTTTGCTATTTCCTGTTTGCAGGAAAAAATTATTATTATTTAGCACGTATTTGGTACATATTTCTAACAGCGCAATTTTGTATTATCATAATTTTCGATTACTTGAAAATTGATTGATAGAAAATTTTTCTGGCTTTAATATTAAAAAGATTTGTATGAAAAAAAACTTGCCTTAAATAGAGACATATTTAAGGCATTGTCAACAAAAATCTTTGTTAATAAGAATTTGATAGCAAGGAAATATTGGTTTATGTGTTACCCCTTAAATCTCTGACGTGCATTATTTACCAAAGTAATTGTATAAGTCTTCATTTATTTAAATAGTGAGAAGAATTCAGGCCTATCCAATTTATTAGAAATGGGCAAAAATCGCTTTTTGTCTTACTCGAATAATAAAAAATAACAATCTATTTTTAATTTATTCGTTATGTAATAATCATATTATTCGTAAAAGTAATCGTTTTTTTATTCGTACGAATAAAAAGTACATTATTTGTGTACCTATTTAAATAGGAAGTTATTGAAATGATCATACAAATTATGATTTGCATAACGAATTAAACAAAAATTTCTGTAACATGATGCTCATCTCTAATATACATATACTGCATAGTGTTATGTACCATGTATTGTATGGAGGATTCTATATAATGTCTATGCGCTTTACAATTAGACAACAAGTGTCAATATAGGAGACGTATAATGACTATAATGAGTAACAATGTGCAATGCTTGGCATAGAGACTTTTGTATTCCATATACATATATTCCATTATACATACACGCAAAATCGAATGCGCAAAGATCTGAAAGAAATCTTGTTTTTTCTAAATTGATAAGTGTATTGATTTTATTTACTCTAGTTTTATACACATGTACTGCAATATTATCATTGGTCTATAATTTTAACAAAATCGTCATCCGCGCTCAATACGTTAAATGCCGTCGTATGGTCGTATGATGCGTATTTACGTACGTTTAAGAATGTACAATTATTTATCCAAAGAATATGTTGTAAGATTGTATACAGTTTAAACTAATTTTAGTTAGATTATGCAAAATGTATAATCGAGCTTTTTAACATTTCTAGAGCCATACACACAGTTTTGAAATCCATAACTTTTCCTTGTGCCAGAATTATCCAATCATCAATTATAATATACATTATAATTAGTGATTTGATATGATTAAGGATTTTTTAAAATTTAGAAACTGTAATTAAAGACTGTTGTAATGAAAGAAAGTGTTATTGAAAGGAATGAGCGTGTGTGATCGAGCATTTCTGTAGAACATGTCCGTTTTGCGAATATAAGTAGAATGTGCCAAAAAAAACGACGCATAAATCTGTTTTTAACAGAGCTTGAAGATATAGTTTAGGCTTTTTTGTGCTACATGCAAGTGTTCTTAAAATGTGAATACGATCTACAACAATGACAGTGTCGTCACGTCAATCTTGAAAATATGCAATATAGCAGCCTGTATTATAGACACATACATCGAATTGAATTTCTATCGAAACGTGTGTGTAAGTCTGAATGCATGTATAGGGACACGTATCATATATGCCATACCACACGTGCGTACCTTAACTACAAGTAATAGTATCGTAAGAGCTTCTTATCGGTAGGATACACGAAAAGTTGCAAACGTGTCTCAGCGCTCGTGCAACGGTATTGCGTATGTGCCTGTTGTTGCTTGATTTCTTTTAAATTTTGCAAATCCGTGATCAGTATAACTATTTGTTGAAATATGTTTAATGTATCCGCTAAATTTTATGCGATCGATCCTGACTCATTGGCAAACGTGGTAAATTTTTTTGTACATAGCTGCAGTGCAATACTAAATTTTCAACTAGATCTACTAAAATATTTCACGGCTGTGAGACATGTTTCGTAACAGATGGCTAATGAAATTATCGAAAGGAATCTACAAATTGTCTCTATTTATCCCAGTGCATGTAATGGAAAGAAGCCTATATATGAAATAGCAGGGAAGACATATTTATTTTTATACAGTGTCTTCTAGACGTTTTAATCAGCCAAAATATAATGAATTACACATTCGGTAGATTGTACGATCGTTATATAATATTTATTTCATAATTCTAACACAGCCTTTCAGATATCATGTGATATACTTTGAAAGAAATATTTTAAAATCCGTTTATACTTAGCTGTACATACAAACATGCTTCCGATCTACTCATTTTCGCTTCATTTCAGATTATGTGGATTTATAAAATATACACTAATGTTATAAAACTTATACTGTTTCACTTTATTAATTTCCCTTCAAACAATCGTGTCGATAACAAATAAACTTAACCAAAACATTAATAATGTTGGCAAGATTACGCGCGATAACAATAATGAACAATAATGAAGGTAAAACGATAATGATGATAAACGTATTAATGTTTACTTGTAAGATGTACCGTAGCTTGATATATTCTAAATCGTAGGTCGTACGTTGCAATCTTTTAAGTGAAGTGCACTTTGATCCACAATCGGGATTTTGTATCGCGCTTACGATTGCACACGTATTAAATGTGTATCGCGATATTTATTGAGCAACAAGAGTAAGATAATTGCACTTTGTCTACAGTTACATTTAATTATAACGGTCTTAAGCAAACTGTCTGTAGGAAATGCACTGATCAGGCGGCGAGTTGTCGGCGTCTGGTCAATTCGTGATCGATCAGAAGCGAGATGTCGGGATCACGGCGCAGGATGGTCGCGCAATAATGCATGGTTTGACTGGGGTCCGCGCCAGCCTTCAATAGTATCCTGACGGCGTTGACGAATCCGCTCTCGGCGGCGACCTGCAATGCTGTCAGACCGTCGATGTTGACTTGCTCCAATTGAGCCAAAGGCGAGGTGACCAACAGCGAGACCGTCTGATGAAATCCTCTCGCTGACGCGAGGTGCAACGGAGTGTTCCCGCCGGCGTCCTGCGTGCCGGGATCCTCGCCGTGTTCGAGCAGCTTCGCCACCATATCAACATGATTCTTCCGCGACGCTATATGCAATGGAGTTTCGCCGTACCGCGACGTGATGCCCGTCGGCGTGTGTTGTATCAACAATGCCGCCGTATTTAACGCACTGCACTCCAAACTCTCGTGCAGAGCGGTCTCTCCGCGATCATTCTTCAGCGCGGTATCCACGCCGGCGGCCAGAAGCGTCCCGATCAACGACTCAATGTCGCTCTCGTCATTGTTATCTGTAAGATAACGTGCCATTAAAGCTCTTGCAATTGCGCGCTCTTTTCGTTTGACGATTGCGAAACGAGCGAGAATAATCATTTGTTATTCGAAAAAGTCACGCGCGTCGTGCACTTGTATAGAAAAATGTCATTTGTTTCGAAAAAATGTCCAACAAAGATGTGGAGATTGGTTAAGCCCGTGTCAGACTACGGGTCGAGATTGAGATTGGATTGAAATCTTCTAATCAGAGTAAAGTTTACTAATCTCAAGTTTAGCGAATTTTACTCCGATTTCTATCTAATCTCAATCTCTACCCGTAGTCTGACACGGGCTTTAAGATAATTGAATGTAAAATGGCATAATCTTACAAGTTTTTTTTATTTGTAAAAATGTCAAGCGCGTAACTCTCGTTGGAAGTTGAAGATCTCTGGAAAACTAAGAATCTTGAGAGAAATAAATACGTTCATTTTCTTAGGTAGATTTCACCTAATAGAATTTGAATTTGAATCTTACACGTGTAATTACGTGGATATATGTAAAGTGTATTGGAGAATGAACTAAGTAAAAGCTAAGTGACGCACCAAAAATAGTTGACGACGCTAAAATGTGCAGGGCACTTCGGCCTTGGTGATCCTTGGCGTTTACGTGCCCCGCTCCCGCCAGCAGTTCCAATGTCTTCAGGGCCGCGTCGAAATTGTGACGAAGGGATTTTAGCAACGTGTGGGCCAGTTGACGCGAGAGCACGTGCAATGCAGTCGATCCACTGCCGGCCTCTTTGACGCCCGGCGGACAGTCGTATTTCAAGAGGTCCTCCACGAATTTCAACACATTGCCCGGCCCGCCGTTCAGGATTGCTCTGTGAAGTGCCGTTTCACCCCGCGGCGAACGCACAGCTGGATTGCACCCGTTCGCTAGTAGCGCGCTGTAATCCGCCCGGAGATAAAGAGATGATAGAACAAGTTTGCACCAAGTTGTCTACTTTGCAATCATTGTACTATAGCAAAAATAAAATACTACCGCAAACACAAGTTATTTTTAGCTTTTTACGATAATTCATCAAAGAGAATTTTTATAGCCATGCGGAGCATCACGGAGCGAAGAATATCATTTCAAGTATGCACCTTTCAAACTACTTTTTTGCTCCAGATTGCACAAGTACTTTCAACTAAAAAAAAATGTATTAAAAAATCTGTACAATAATCAATTGACTCGGGGAGCTCTAAATCGATGCAATTTGCGGGAAGGAGAAAGTTGCGCAAAAAAATCGTGTTGAACGATCCGGTTGACGCGATTCTGGAAAAATGTACCTCAACACAGGCAGGCAATGACTCGTTGCTGCCATCAATAGGGGTGGATCACCCGACACGTTCCAATCCGGTTCGTCCAGGCTTTGCACGCAACCGTTGGCGATCAACTCTGAAACGCGCTTGGCGTTTCCCGATCGTACAGAATCGTAAAACGAGTCGGCGTCTCGCTGGCCGACAACTTCCCTCTCAAGTTCATCTTGTTTCTCGTCCGCGTCCAGGCAAATTTCCGCCACGTTCTCGCAGCAAGCTCGCACGTCCTCCACGTCTTCCCCGGCGCGTCGTCGATGCGTCCGGATTTCCGGCGACTCCGGCACGCTCCAATTGTTCTGGTCCTTGCCAAGATCCTTGACCCGCTTCCTTCTCGCGCTGCACGTGGACGCGCTTTCCGCGCGCTCCAACGAGATCGACTCCTTCTCTTCCTCGTGCCTCTCGTTATCCTCGAGGAGCAATTCCTCGCTCTTGGGGCCGCTCATTCGCGAAACATCATTCACCGAATTCGCAGAGGCACCAACGCTTCCTTCGTCCTTATGTTCCATCTCCTTCTCGTACATTCGCAGATCCCCGTCGAATGATTCACCTGGCAGAGGGCCGATCTCGACGGAAGACGAGTCACCTGTTGCGAGACTGGCTCGCGACGACGACGAGGTCTCCTCCATGTCAGCGACAGTGTCGCGGGGACTCGTTGCCTTCTGTTGCTCGCGTTCCGTCGTCGTTTCATATGCGGAAGTCATCGCACCCGCGCGCTTAATTGGCCCCGATTATTTGTCCACGCAATTGGCTCGGCGCTCTCGACGCGGAACAACACGGCGGGCGCGTTATAATTGGTCTGCGTACTGCGACAAGTTTCGCTTTCGCCGGACCACGCACCGGCAATATAATACAATAAAAGCTACAACAGAAAGAGGCGCAACGGGGGGAGATTGGCGTAACTTTGCTCTGCGACCCTGCGAGACGGTCGAGCAGAACCGAAGCGAACGAGAATCCCCGGCGTTTTACGATGCCTCGCTAAAAACGTGCCTCCACACCGGCTTCTCCCCTTTTTCTTTCTTCTCCTCCTCCTCTTCCTCCTCTTCTTCAGCTCCCTCCACCTCTCCGCACTGCCATTCTGTGTTTCGCGTTGTAGCACATTTTGCCTTCATTCGTTGCCTACCCCACTTTACCAGTCTGCGCGCTCCTTAATCCTCCTCAGACGAGCCATGGGTGCCGAATCATTGAAATTTAAAGCGACGCGATCAACAATTATCCAATTTATTTATATTCTTCGTAACCACGTAAAATAATAGCTGCATTTCTTCAAAAGCACCATCGATCAAAATAACGTGAATTTTTTAACATGTTCTACAATTGCTTAATAATAATTAAGTGATCACAGTAAACGTGCTTACTTGCAAATGAGTCGAGTCAAAGCTACTCACTTTGATTTGTGCTATACTCTGCCATTATCACTTCTGAATTATAGCATTTAATACTTTTTCTCTCCCCACGTGCAAAATTAGCGGAATTGGCAATACGAATCTTAATCAATCTAAAAATAAAAAAAGTGATACTGCGAGTTATGAAAAAATTGCAAATTGATTGGCTTTACCAGTTATTCGTTGACGCGGCTTTTCTACAAGGCACAGCGAGCTTGAAAATGCTTGCAAATGGAATCACACCGTTTGCTACGCCTATTACCTTATCTGCCGTCGAGTATACTGATGTAAAAAAATTTCAAGAGAGAAGAAAACTCAGCGACGCCGCGTGATCACGATCAGACACGCAGATGCGCAAACGGGAAGAAGGGATTTTTACACGCGTACTTGTTCGGTGTGGGAACCTGGGACTTGAGCGAGACGATGGACAATGATTGAACGCACGATACGATACAATAGAAACGCGTGCACATCTAAGAAGCTATCATTTTTTATTGAACATCAGTTTACAGCAACTCAGATACGAGCGAACATAAACGAGAACTTGAAGAAACCACCGGTAAAGTAGCCGGGAAATTAACAATGTACGTGGTTTCTTTCGTATAGAATAATAATCCTTCACTTATATGAAGTTGTTATGCTATCCATGTTTACAAAAACAGGCAAGTTTTATATATGGCTAAATGATAAATCAATATGCGATTGCTTCAACTGTTGAAGGGTCATAGCTTTTTAATTAAGAGTCAAAGGAATCCGATAAACGTCAGTGAACCCCACTAAAACAGAAAGTCACAATGTATCATGTTGATTGAATGACAGTAACGGTATAACCGACATTTACTTACCATTTATCTGCTCCGAGATCTGGAGCCCGATCGAGATTTCGACTTGCTTCGACCTTTGGAAACGGACTTCCGTTTCTTGCGATACTTATCCTTGACGCCGACGCTCCTGCTGCGGGACGGGCTGCGCCGTGATGAGCGCGAGCGCGAGCGATTACTGCGGGATCTTGAGCGGGAACGTGAGCGCGATCGCGATCGTGAACGCGATCTTGATCTCGATTTGGACTTTGATCGCGAACGGGACCTAAAGTAAAAGTCGTAATAAATAAATGTCAAGATAATTGCCGCGTGTACATGTTTGCCTATCTATTGCTACGGAACATTAATGTGAAACATGATCTTTAAAACTGGAGACTATTTGATTTTCATCGATTTTTACACAGCACGTATCACCCCCAAAATTAGCAACAGCGATTGATTTTATCACTAGTAATGATCAATCCTGATCCTGGTTAAACCTTTAATACCGTCTTTTCGAAAGATTCAAAGTATTGAAATATCGAGCTTTCTCTCTGTCTCCGAAATGCATGTTAATACAAGAAATAATTCGAGTGATCCGAACTCTGACGAATTAAGTATTTTTCAATCCCGTGTATTGATTAAAAGGCATTATTTACAATACCTCCGAGCAATTTCTATTTGACAAGAGCATCAGATTATTTCGGTAAATAAATGCAACTACCTTTACAAGTCATGCAAGTTTGCTTACACGTAATAACGTAACGTGGATTCGTTCGTGTTCAAAATGGATTCAGCCAGCACACATATACATTAATCTTCGTAGAATATATACATATACTTGACTGTTCTACTCGTACATATATACCATCTTTCCTGGGTGTGCTTATAGCAGACAATTGTGGATTGCATGCGCGCGATGGCTATGCCGAGAAGGGAGAGCGGATGAGCCCTTTATGCGGACGAAATTACGAGAGGGTCCGAGATGAACGGATGAAGAGTGGCTAGAGACGAGACCGCTCAAAGTTTCTCTCTCATCAACCCCGTTGGGTATTACAACGATGACGATAACGACGATGATGACGATGATTAAGGCGACGAAGACGAAGACGACAACGACGACGACTAGGCCGAGAACGACGACTAGGCAGAAATCACAGATTGAAGGAAGAACGCCGCAAGTGCCAGACGTGCAAAACTCTCGATTTAGGGTGATGGTCAGTGGTCAGTGGATCGGTATCGTAGCAGTGCGCAGAACTAGCCACCCCGTGTCCGGTCGGCCGCGGCCCGTGTTTCGGCCGCGTTTTCTCGCCCGCAGAGTGTGCAGAGGGAAACCCAAAGTAGATGTGGAGTGCTCTACGCTGTAACTACGACGCGCGGTGTGTGTCACAAACGTGAACCCAAGGCGAATCTCGCGCGACAATGTCGGGTAGCAACGCACATTTCACATGCGCGTGCTGTATTCTCAGCCGCAACTCCTATAAATAACGGGCAATATTACGTTGGCCGCTTTACAACTAGTTTCGTTTTATGTTTGTAGACATTTCTTTTTTATCTTTTACCAATTTTAAGTAGCTTATAATCGCCATTATTTTAATAATGGAACAATCCTGTACAATCTTTTTCGTAACTGCCAGGTGAAATTGGCACAGTAATTCAAACAGTCATTTAACTAAATTAATCTCAGGTAATTCAATATCGTCTTATTGTATACATTATTCAATCTTTCTTTCCTAATTATTCAGATAAAGAGTGCCCAAGTTCAAATACAGCTCATTTACACAAATCTTTGCAAGTGTCAACTCTCGTCGTGGTTCACACATGATAAGAGATGTGAAACTGTATTTTTACGTAACTACGTTACAATCCTTATCCACAATGTATGCGACAAGACAGAAACTTGCGTATGCACAATATAATTCAATGTACAAACACAAAAAAAATATATATATGTGTGTATGTGTGTGTGTGTGTGTGTAAACTTGATACTTGGCAAGTAGAAATAATTGATCTCGTTAAAAAGGGAGAAATTTGCAAGACTTACCTCCTTCTATGGGAACCTCGATGGCGATGACAATCTCTAGCATAATGACCCTTCTCGCCACATTCGTAGCACTTATCCTCTGGATGAAAAGGTCTGCCAATGCCTCGCCTGGAAAAGCCTCTGTCTCTTAATTTCTTTCCGTTTGACAATTCGACACGAACGCGTCTTCCGCACAAAATGCGCCCGTCCAGCCCCCTCACGGCGTCTTCCGCGTCTCTGGGGTCCTCAAATTCGACAAAGGCAAATCCAGGAGGGTTTCTGGCAACCCAGACATTACGCAATGGGCCGTAGTAGGAAAATGCATCCTCCAATTGCTGTTTACTAGCACTGCTTCCTAAATCTCCTACATAGACCTTGCCGTCCGAGGGATAGCGCGAGACCTAGTGTTGAAAAAAAACATATGCACACATGAGATAATAAACATCTACCAAATATCTTTCACACTCGTGTATATTTAATCCCAGCGCAAAAAAATGTAACTCTTGCCGAGCTAACGTTACTGAAACAAACACCGTTCCCGAGCGTTTGTCTCGTCGCTTGGAAAATACGTTGCGCCGACATAATGAAAATCTGGATTTCTATACCTTGCTCATCTTGTTGGCTTCGTAAGTCTTGGTAACTGCAAATGTTTACGAGGAACGGCGAAAATGTGACATATTCTCGGGAAAATACACGCTCGCCAACGACGACTCCCTGCGCGTTATCGATTCGAGAGAAACAAATTGCAAATTGATTAGAAACCCGTCCGCAAGAGCGGAATTTTTGCAGTAGCGCTTTCGCTACCGGTTACGCGATATTTACGATAACGTCCATAAATGTCCACCAATGCCGGGAAATCCACTACACGCTGTTCAATTCACTTGGCCAATCGCTAACGGGAACTTGTGCAGCCCGTATCACAACGCACGTACGCTCAACGGTCGCGTCATCAACAAGATTACCGTGAGATGGTACAAGCTATCGCCTCTCCCGCCGAGAGAACGTCTACGTGCAAACTTTACAACGAGATAGCTTACGGTTGAGTAGTCGTCTCGTCTTTGTCTAATAAATAGAGTGGGCAACAGAACGAGCTGAACGAGTAATGTTGTCTCTTTCTAAAGTTTCTATACCGATCTCTTGAGCCAAACGCGCAGTTTATATATTATGCTGCCACCAGGGAGAAGCCTGAGAGCAGAGAGAAAACTGAGAACGGCCACCGGTAGAACAGATGCGCCCCCTGACAAAGTGGACGTCAACCGAACCAACTCTTTCAGAGGGCGCAGCTGTTTCTAATGTCGATAATTCAGTGTATGTATTCGACGGTTGTCATTGGTTGTCATTGGTTGTCATGGCGACGACGCGACCAAATAGAAAATATTTTCACGTGCACATTTCGACAATTAGCGAGTGGAACGTCCTCATGTCGCATAGTCTCTCGAGCCGATTTCCAATAACAGAGAATGAGCGCAACTCTCGCCGCCGGCGACGCTAGCGAAAGCAATATTATTTTTGACGTGTCGAAAAATGAAAGGAAATTAAATGACGAATTTAAAATACTTCAGCGGAAACTGAAAGCAAAGTGGAAGTTTGTCGAGTGAGTGACAGAGTTGAAATTGCACTGGTTATCGATACATTCTTATCAGATTGAAAAACTTACATGTTTCAGGAATAACCAAGTGATATCGCAAGAATCATTGGCAAACGCCAAGATCCTGGTGCTGCCAGGGCCGCTGAGTAAATTTACCGAGCTTGAGATGAACTCTATTAGAACTTATTTAAATTCCGGTGGCAATGTTCTTGTCACGCTCGAGGAAGGTGGCGAGAACAAGTCCAATACAAACATCAATTTTTTGCTAGAAGAATTCGGTATAATGGTTAATAACGGTATGCGAAATAAGCGTTATCCATTAGTTCCACTGTGAATTTTTTTGCCTTCAAGTGGACTTTTCCCTCTATGTACAAAAACCTACGTTTTAATGTTTGTATTTGCAGACAGTGTAGCTCGCATGAGTTATAGTCAAACGATGCATCCTAAAGAATCTCTAATCTCCCAAGGCTTATCAAACAAGTCGATATTCCTCAAGAATCACGATGAATACATGTAAGACAGTCTCATAACATTCAACCTGTGGTAACTCCGGTTATCAATATATGGTTATTTTAGTGGTATGAAATTTTTGTATCCTTACGGGGCAACGTTAAATGTGGTGCAACCGTCTGTTGTTGCTTTATCCAGCGGGTCAATTGCTATTCCAATGAATAGGCCAATCTGTGCGTATCATTGCGTAAAAAGCAGTAATGGCAAGCTCGTTGTATTAGGTTCGTCCAGAATGTTGACGGATACCTACATAGAAAAGGAGAGTAATGATGCGTTGCGGGAAATGATTTTTGACTTTTTTGAGCTAAATGTCACGGACACAATGGATGTTCATACGGATGATATAGAAGTAAGTTATTTATCACATATGCAAGTTCTCTCTACGAAGGACGATTGACAAATTGTACCTTTATGTGTGTGTGTGTGTGTGCAGTTTTGGGAGTACAACTTTGTACCAGACATAACGCAGCAGGCTGAAAATCCAAAAGTTTGCACGCAAGATTTAGATAACATTGACATACCTCGCGAATACACCAAGTTATTTAATCATCATCTTTATTCTATAAACTTAAACATGATACCAGCCTGCATAAAAGCGTACGAAGCTTTAGGAGTAAAACACGAGCCACTTACTCTAATTCCACCCCATTTTGAAGCACCTTTGCCTCCCACGCAAGCTTCGGTGAGTAAAACATGTAGTCTAATCTAATTCCATGTCCATTTCTTTCTAATTGTATGCATGTTACACAACTCGAAATAATTCTACAGGCGTTTCCTCCAAGCTTCCAAGAATTACCTCCACCTGCTTTGGAGCTGTTTGATCTAGACGAAGCTTTCAGTTCTGACTTACTAAAATTATCACAACTTACCAACAAATATACCGCGACGAAGGAGCTGTCGGATGACAAAGAATTAGATCATTATATCAGAGAATTTGGAAGTATAATAAGGATAAACAATTCCAACACACACACCGCTAAAGAAGTATTAAATTTTGTCTTTCAAAAAATCTGCAGTTATAAGGCGATGCACGATTGAAATTTTTGTATAGAAAAATGTTGTAATTTATCGTAAATAGCTCATTTTCTATACTAGTCGATTATTTAATAAATGAAGGAGACAATTGTATTACATACATAGCGCGGGACGGGGCTAAAATTTCGCAAATCTGCGTTACCCACTTGGCAAAATG